TCGGTGTTGCACGCGGCCGGGTCGGCGTAGCACCGCTCGTGCTCGACCCGTGTGGAGGCCGTACGTGCCGGGGTGCGCGAGGCTCACACGCCGTCCGCCGTGACGACATGCACCTCGCCGCTCACGAGGCTGACGCCGGCCGGGTAGGCGGCGAGGCACGGGCAGTCGAGCGGCGGCGAGGGCGAGGGCGGCGAGGGCGGCGGCGACGGCGACGCGAGCGCGGCGGCGGCGAGGGCGGCGGCGACGTCGTACCAGACGATCTTCCGGTCGAGAGCGAAGAGGAAGAGGAAGAAGAGGAGGAGGATGACGGAGAGGACGCAGAAGGAGAAGCCGCACAGCACCAGGAACTTGGTGATGACGAGGATCTGGGGGGGGGGGGGGGGCGTTGTGTGTTGTGCTCTTGTGCCCCAGGCAGGGGGAGGGGGGCGCCCGCGGCACGTTGGACGCCGAGCACGTTTGCGATGGCACATTTGCGATGGCCATGTCGCCCTCGCCCTTGCGCGCGACGACGATGGAGGAGAGCGAGTCGGGGACGGAGGTGCCGGAGGAGAGCACGATGGTGCCCATCACGATGCCCGGGATGTTGAGGATGCAGCCGGCGCGCGTGGACTGGACGCAGGCCACCTGGAACTCGTGCCGGACGATCTTCTGGTCGAGAGCGAAGAGGAGGAGGAAGAAGAGGAAGATGACGGAGAGGATGCAGAAGGAGAAGCCGCACAGCACCGGGAATATTGGTGACAGGGAAGTGGGCTGTGTTTGCGTTTCTTTGTGGGGACGGGTGGAGGCATCTAGATGGAGATGAAGAGCGAGAGGGCAGAGGCCATGCTCAGAGAGAGAGAGAGGGAGAGGGTCGAGCCAGGTCACTGCCACACCTACGGGCAGCACGCCGCGGTGTTAGCGTCGCGACGACCGGCACACTCTCTCGTGTCCTCGGCGCTCGGACTGGAGCCGGGCAGCGATTTGCAAGCGAGCGGGCTGCTTGCTCTCTCGCCGGAAAAGAGTGGGGGCAATCGGGCGGGTTCGCTCGGTGTAAGGGTGGGAAACGAGCGGCAGCGGCCGCGTCTCGCGGCTCCTCGATGGCAGCAGCCTCACCTGCGAACGGGAGGTGGCAGGCTCTGTGAGGCCGAGAGGGGGCGTAGCAGCTCGGGCGCCAAAGCGAAGCGCATCTCATGGTGGGAGCGGAGAGGGAGCGGCGGGTTGCGTGAGCAAGAGGCGTCGCGCCGCTCGGGCTTGCAGCTCCCCGCGGCCATATGTGCGTCGATACGGCGGGGCCAGCGCGAGCGGAACGGGAAAGGCGAGGGTTGGACCTTGTGTGTGGTTGTCAGCGAAGCTAGCTAGGAGGTGCCGTGTCTCGCTCGGATAAATCTGATCGACCAGCTGTGGGGGAACGTATCTAGAGAAAAACGGACTTTGAGATTCCAGACAAGGTCCAACCCTCGCCTTCTCTGTCGCTCTCCTGGCCCAGGCCCATCAGTATCAAGTCTGAGCTGTCCCAAACCGTCCTTATTTTGGGTGATGAAGCCCACTCTGACTCATACTCCACGGCTCTTACGGCCTCACACACGCCTGTTTCACCCACAGACACCGCCGGCACGCACTCCCACTTCACACATGCTCAAGCACAACCCCACAAAAGCACAGCCCTGCTCAGAGTGGGCAAGGTCCACCACTTGGTGACCCAGGCAGCCTCTGGATCGTCACTGCACTCGGCTCCTCTGCAGCGATCTCGCGCTCTCGCCACGACAGCACGCCGACGGCAAGCTTTGAGGTCCGTCTGGTGGACCTGCTGTGGCCACAGCCGCCCCTCACATGCAGCTTGTACCAGGACTCGACACCGGGCCCGCTCATCCCGGTCGTGGCGGCGTGTGTGAAGGATGCGCGGCCGAGCCGCTGGCTGGCGCCGCTTGAGCGTCCGAGATGGCCGCAGCACAGGCCACGCGTCGCGCCGCCGGCCGATCCCAGCCTCTCGGCGGTCGCCGGCGGTCCCGAGGCCTCAGGCCCGGTCGATTTTGACCGCCCGGAGGGCGGCAGGAGCGCGTGCGGCGCGAGCGCTTGGATGCCCCACCAGCGACGACGCCGAGCCCACTGTAGCGACCCACGCTTTATGTGCCTCCTTTCGCCAGGGGAACATGGGGAATCTCATGTTCACACTGTCGTCTGTGGCTGCAAACTGTGGCCGCGAAACCAAACAACTCCGAGAAACCCTTCGGGTCGCTCCTCATCGCAAACCCTGTCAGCAGAGTCTCCTACGGGAATGTACGTAAGAGCTACATACACTGAAAACCCTTTCCGCGCCTCACCCAGCCACTTGCTCTCGGCGTCTCAGACACACACATATGATCGTGTGTTTCCTCAAGGGGAATGGAAATTCTTTTCTTGGATCTTGCGCGCCAGTCCCGTGCCCAGTGTCGTGCAGGGAGCTTGGTGTAAAATTCTTTTAGTGCCCGCTGCCGGCTTTTTTAGCTTTTTTGGGACCCAGCGCAAACCGCCGTCTCCCATCGTGGTTGGTCCGCACATCATGGATCATGTGGGGATTTATCTCGGTGTGTGGTTGTCAGCGAAGGGGGAATATGGGGAATATCTCTGCAATATGGCAAATGCTTATGTCTCCTTTCGCCAGGGGAATATGGGGAATATGGGGAACATCTCGTGTTCACACTAAAACAAAACCCTGGCGGCTCCTCACCCAGCCACAGATTTTCGGCACGACGTACAGCGTCAGCGAAAATCAATCGGTGGACCCCTGACGGCTCCTCACCGAGATAGCCGGCTCTCGGCGTCTCCGACACACACCTATGATCGAGTGTTTTTTTTGAGCTAGACTTCGTTGTTAATAGGAACAAGCGAAGGCACACACGACATGACGCCAAACACACGATTGCACGCACCGCACCGCACCTCGCACCCACGCCCGCCGCCCCCCCGACCCCCGCCCCGCCTAGGTGGGAAAGAGACGAGGAGATGGAACAGCCCGAAGGAGGAGGCACAAACACGTATGGGAGGTTTCAATGATGCGCCACGCTGCCCGGCGTTTCTCACTTTCCGGGACAGCCCCGCCCTTTTGAGGCAGGAAAGTGACGGCTACCCCGTACGCCCTGCGGCCTGCTACCCCTTCGCCGACCGCCCATCCCCCCTCCCCTTCTCCAACCCCGACGAGCCGATGACCGAGCCTCTGCCAGCGCGCCCCCGAGCCCCCCCCCCCCCCCCCACACCACCACCACCACCACCACACACACACACACACACACACACACACACACACACACACACACACACACTGCCGCCGCGCGAGCGCCGCGCGGCGGCACACCCAGCTCAAAAGAAAAAGAAAAAAGGAATGAGGAGACCAGCGGGGGAGACTCCCCGCCTATGCAACACCCCAGAGAGGGGCTGCCATCGCCGAAGCTGTGCCTAAGCATAACTCCAAAACCCGCAGCGGCCCAGGGGGCCTTGGGGGCAGCCTGCCGGACCGCCGCTGCACGGGGCTAGGCACCAGAAGATGAGTGGAATTGATGAATTGGGCCGTTGTCCGTGCCTCCCCTCTATACGTCAGAGTGGGACCTACGCCGCGCCGGGTAAGGGGCGCGCCCGGTCCTCGACGGAGCCGCGCGCCCCAAACGACCCAGGCGGCGAGTAGTCGTCGTCGAACCTTCGACATGTAGTTGCCCATAGTTAGCGCCCGCCCGCCCCCCCCTCCGTCGCTTCGCAAAAGAAAAAATAAAATAAAAACAAGCAAAAGAGAAAGCGAAGCTCAACAACGATTGCGTAAACGGCGTCACAAAGCCCGCCGGTTTTGATCGACAATCGTGAGATTGACCGCCGTCGACCAGAGAATTGACGGCAGCATGCAGACGATGTGCCAGCTTGCACGGCGCTCGCGCCGCGCCGGCTGGCTCATCGAGCGCGCTCTCTGGCGCCGTCCGGGCCACGCGCGGCGCCGCGCGTGCCTCGCGCCACTCGCCGCAGTGAGTGAGTGAGTGAGTGAGTGAGTGTGAGTTTGTGTGACACACACACCAAGATTCTTGTTGGCTTCTAAAAATCTCTCACACAACCGACGCGGCCATGAAAGGATATCAACCTCGAGACCTCGCTGTGCATGGCGTTCGAGTGAACGCCGTGCAGGCAGCCTTTTGGTGTACCCCGTTTGTGCCGCGTCCTGTGCCCCCGAGTTCATTTTATAAACCTCGAGCGGGGCTCTTCGAGGACTTCTCGGCACTTGTGTATCGCGCGCCTTGCGGGGGGGGCGCGGAAAAGAGGAACCTCTTAGCGATATCGCCACGGTTGCTCACTTTTATTTTTTCCGCAAGCGCGTTGCTCGGCCCTCTCGTTGCTTGCTGCTCACGCGCCCACCTACTGCTCTCCACATCGCACTTGTCCAGCAGTGCAGCTGTCGCGATGTCCGGCAAAGGCTATGGCGGCGGCAAGGGCGGCTACAAGGGCGGCGGCAATGGCGGCGGTGGCAAAGGCGGGGAAAGGGGCCGAGGCTGGCTGCGGGAGAGGGCGAAAGAGAGAGGCACGCGCCACGACTACCATAGGCGGCCGAGGGAACCCCGGCAAGGGCGAGTACTACAAGAACCTTTACGGCGGCGGCGGGCGAGGCAAGGGTGGCGGCGGAGGAGGCAAGGGCGGCTACATCGAAGGCGAGGGCGGTGGCGGCGACGGCTCGACGAAGCGCTTGCGGACGTCTGGCGGCGCTGAGCTCCGGGCGACGCTCCTTCGGATCGACGGCCGGCCCTACCCGGCGTACAACGACATCAAGGACGTCGAGTACGACCTCGGCCGCTTCTCGGCCGTGGTGCAACATGTGCAGTCGGACCCGTTCGCGCCTCCCTCGCGCTGCTACGTCCGCGTCCCGCTGGCGCACGCCGCCTTCCCGCCCGAGTGCTTCTCTCCGCCGGCCCGCGAGACGGCGCTGCGCGACTGGCTGACTCGCCGCTTCCACGCGGCGGCCAAGCGCGCGGGCGTGGACCAGCGGAGCGGCGAGGGGGGGTGGCATGGCCCAAAGGAGCAGCGCCTGCCACGCCACCAGAGTCTGCACATCTTCACAGCTGTATACCTGCAAAGAGCCGCCGTGCATAGGGAGGGGAGCTGCTCGTCGACTTGCCCGGGCAGCACGTGCTCGACCGCTCCTCCGTCATCGTCGACCGGTCCGCCGCGGCCGCAGGCTTGCCCGGAGGGGGGGCGATCGAGGCTCGCTTCACTGTCGCCCTGCCTGCGCGCGGGCGGTCGATCTGCGGCGAGTGGGCGGCGCAGATTTTCAGCGAGACGCTGCCGAGGCTGGTGCACGAGGCGCTGCTTCACGAGAGCACCGACCACTCCGCGCTCATGGCGCACCTCTGCTCCGTCGAGGACCAGCAAGCGGCTCGCAGCCAGCTGGCCAGCCGAGGACTGGTCGTGGGGCAGCTTCTGGGAGCCTTCCACGAACCTTCTGGGAACCTTCTAGGCCGGCCGAGGACTGGTCGCCTTCGTCGCGGACGGGTCTGTGCTGCCGCGAGCCACGGGAGCGAGCGACCGTCCGATGGACGCTGCTTCGGCCGTCCCCTTCTCCTCCCCTCCCTCGCTGCGGGTCACCCTCCCCGTCCCGAACGCCGGCTCGCTAACCGGGATGGGGCTGCCGCGCGGGGTCACCCTCATAGTCGGAGGTGGCTTCCACGGCAAGTCGACTCTGCTCGAGGCGCTGCAGGTTGGTGTGTACGACAAGGTGTCGGGCGACGGGCGAGAGGGCGTCGTCACCGACCGGATGGCGGTTAAGGTGCTTCCTAGACACTTCCTAGACACTTCCTAGACACGTCGTCACCGACCGGATGGCGGTTAAGGTGCTTCCTAGACACTTCCTAGACACTTCCTAGACACGTCGTCACCGACCGGATGGCGGTAAGGTGCGGGCGGAGGACGGGCGTGCTGTGAACAGCGTCTCTTCACACCTCTAGCTGTGAATAGGTGCGGGCGGAGGACGGGCGTGCTGTGACGTCGGTCGACATCTCGCCCTTCATCGACCACCTACCTTTCGGGAAGCGAACCGGCGCCTTCACCACCGCCGACGCGAGCGGGTCAACCTCGCAGGCGAGATGTCGCCGAGATGTCGCCGAGATGTCGCCGAGATGTCGCCGAGATGTCGCCGAGATGTCGCCGAGATGTCGCCGAGATGTCGCCGAGATGTCGCCGAGATGTCGCCGAGATGTCGCCGAGATGTCGCCGAGATGTCGCCGAGATGTCGCCCGAGATGTCGCCTAGATCTAACCGATGCCAGCCGAAAGGCTGCTCTCCCGGTCCTCGACCACCTCCCGGCCCCGCCTCGCCGCTGGTCTCGGAACCTTCTCGGAACCTTCTCGGAACCTGCCCGCAGGCCGCCTCCATCATCGAGGCGCTCGAGGGCGGCGCCTCGGCGCTGCTGCTCGACGAGGACACGAGCGCGACCAACTTCATGATCCGCGACGCGCGCATGCAGGCTCTGGTCAGCGCGGACCGCGAGCCGATCCGCCCCTTCATCACGCGCGTGCGCTCCCTCTGGTCCGAGCGGGGCGTCTCGACCGTCCTCGTGGTTGGAGGGTCGGGAGACTACTTCGACGTGGCGGACACGGCGCAGAGAGCTCTCGCAGCGAGCACACGCTCTTCACACCGCCACCCTCCTGTGACCACACGCTCTTCTCACTGCAGGTGCTGATGCTGCACGAGTACTCGCCGAGCGACGCGACGGCCGCGGCCAAAGACGTCGCCGCTCGCATCGCCGGCGGAGCGCCGCCTGAGTCCAAGGCCGACCGCGGCATGCCCCCCACTCCGCGCCGCGTGCTGAGCGCGCCCGGCCTGACTGCGGGCATGAAGACGCACACGGGGCGGGCGTCGATCCGGTTCGGCGACGAGCCCGAGCTCGACTTGGGCGGAGTCGAGCAGATCGTCGAGCACTCGCAGGTGCGGGCAATCGCAGAGGCGTGCTTGCGGCTGGGCGGCGCGGCGAGGCCGATCGACGACGCGCTCGCCGAGCTCGAGGCCTCCATCCGCGAAGGCGGGCTCGACGTGCTCCGGCCGGGCTGGCGGCTTGGCAACCTCGCCGCACCGCGCATGCTCGAGGTGGGTGCGGCGCTGAGCAGGCTCCGCGGGCTGGAGGTGGAAGGGTGCGTCGGGGGGAGGGGGTGAGGGCCCGGGGTGGCCGTGCCCGGCGTTGCGGGATGGCACATGCGGTCGGCTCCTGCGCATGGTGGCGTGTCGGATCGGCTAGCACGCGAGGTGCTCGTGTACAACGTCCTCGACCTGGCCGCCCGGCTGCACCTCCCCCTCCTGCAGCGCCTGGCCGCTCGCGCGAGCCCGCGCTCTTGCCTCGCTTCGTGCGCCGCCCGCACGCTGCTGGTACCGCTCATCTACGCGTGCGTCCGCGTCGCGGGAGTCTACATCGGGCTCGCGGCGGGCGCGACCGTCAGCTGGGCGGTGGGGCGGGTGATGCAGCTGCCGCTCGCGTGTGGGTGCCGTCAGCCGGCTGTGGTAAAAAGCTGTCCCCAGCACATTTAGCTTTTCCCGATGTGACTTCTGAGAAGCTCTGAAGCTGTGAGAAAGGCGCCGCGGGAGAACAAGTCATGAATTGCAATTAGAGCACGAGAAAGAGCATGAGGTTGTGAAGACCAGCGCACAGCGCCATCGCAGGTATTTTCTTCTCAATAACTTTTCGCATTTGCGGACCGCGCGTGGATTGATTGAAGAATTCTTAAGATACAAGCCTCTCTCACAGCACACTGGCACGACAAGGGCGCGGACTGGCGCGGACTGGCACACACACAGGCTCACCACCGGAGCCGCCTAAGCGACTCCGTTAAGAACGGCAATGCACTCCGCACCATGCACAATGCCGCTCTCCCCGCACGCTAGCTCGTTCACCGTCTGCCACGCCACGGCGGTGTGGAGGACGACAGACAAGCGCTGCATCTGCAGCCCGTGCCAGTTCTTGGTGGTCCATGTGACCTCGTCCAGGTGCTGAGCGTGCGAAAGTTTGTTGCTCAGCTGGTTCGCCGCCTCCCTCAGGGTGCTGCGAACCTCCTTTCCAAAGCCTCCGAAAGCCTCAAAATCAAACAAACGTACGCGCAAAGCGGTAATCGCCATCCAGCTGCTGGAGCTTTCCCTTGGGGGCATCCTCCTCCTCCCCCTCCTCCCCCTCCTCCCCCTCCTCCTCGGCCTCCTCCTCCTCCCCCGCCACCGCCGCTGCCGTCGCTCCCGACGGAGACCACTTGCCGCGCCCTTTGACCAACTTGAGCAGCCCGGTCTCCGTGTTGCCAAAACGTACATAGGCCCCCTTCCAGCCGAGCTCCCCGTCGCCGGCCGTGTCCTTGCCCTGGCTCGCAAGCGAGCTCGTGAGCTTCAAATCGGCAACAAGGCGCCTGGCCCCCTGCCGATGTTTGCCGCCGCCACGTCAGGTTGTTTTGGATTACTGTAACTGAGGTGTGCAGTCGGCTCCATCTCGATGATCATGCCCCACGCCGAGCGGAGGCATTTGATCAAACGTTTGAGTAGGAATTTGTGTCTTGTAGCATGCTTTGACCGAGGGTTAACCATCGCGGCGTCGCCAAGGACGTCGTGTAGCTGGCCGCTGGGTGCCCTCTTGCCTGCCTCCACCGCCTGGCAGGCGACATCAAGGGGGAGCCCAAGGCGGCGCTGAACGGTGACGCGCATCGCCCAGGACTCCATCTTCATGTCATCACGCATAGGGATGGCGTTGAGGAAGGCGCCGGCCCCTGGTTGGCTGACGGCGACAAAACGGATCGCCTCTCGCCAGCATTTGTGGTTCTTGCGTCTTCCGACCCTGTTGCCTTTGGAGGGCGCCTTGCGGCCGCCACTGCGAAGCGCCTCGTTGGTAAGCTCCTTGGCAAGGTCGAGCCAGTTAGCGTGGTGCACGCCAGAGGTGTACCGCCGCTGCGCCTGGTGCAGGAACTCGTTGGTGGACGAGAACTGGGCCAGGGGAAGCAGCTCCGCAGCCGGCGTCAGCCCGTGCGGAAAGAAGCGGAACCTCGCCTCCGCCTTCGCCTCGTTGGTCGCAGTGCCCGGGCTCACCACCTCCCGGCACACGACCTGCGTCCGCCAGCTCCGCTGGCACTTGTCGGTGAGGTCGTGGTTGCTGACGAGCTGCGTGTGCGCCTCTCGCAGCTCGTCGAAACACTCTCCGGGCGCGGTCGAGACGTCGAGATCGGCGAAGGGCCTGTGTAGCTCGCGGATCGGCCGCGTGACGAGAGCCCACGTACCAACCCACGCCGCGCCGCGAATGTCCTCGGCGCTAGTCAAGCCCATGCCGCCCATATTGACTGGCAGACGCGCCTGCTTGAGCGCCCGCACCCACTGGTCATCATCGCGCCCGACTCGCGCGCCGCCGACAAGCTCGTACAGGCTGTCTGCAATCAGCCTGTCGTGCTCCTTTGCCGCCGCCAGGGTGACGCTGGGAGGCATTGTGCGGAGGAAGAAGGTGAGCGTGGTATTCATGCAGAAACGGATCAGCACCTGTGAGAGCTGCTGCGCCGTCCGGACCTTCTTGGAGTCGCGCAGGGCGAGAATGCCCGGAAGCGGCTCCAAGGCCTTGCGCACCCGCTTAACCAGTTTGTCGCGGCACCACGCAGAACCGCCAAGGAAGGCGCCGAGGACGCGGATGCCCGGAAGCGTGCCGCCCTCGTAGGAGCCGTGGGGCGGGGCGTCCGGCGTGCCCTTGACGTCCACCCGATGCTTGGCGCACCGAATCGAGCGAGCGAGGGTCCGGCGCCCAAATGCACCGCTTAGACGGGTTGCTCTCAACGCCGCAGCATCGCTGCGCAATGACGTCGCCTTCGAGCATCGCGCAGAGCGCCGCCTCTGGATCATCGGCACAGTAGGTGTCATCCAGGTGGCGCTCCAACCACCCTCTGGTTTCCCTGGGGCCAATACGAGCCCCTCATGTCTACCCTCTCCTACTTCATAGGCCACAGGCGAAGAGAAAAGTTTTTTCGCGCAAATCAGGGTGGACGGATGCCGGACCTGCATCTCCAACAGGGTCCAGTGGTATCCAATCGCGAAGAGGAAGGGCCCGAGGGGATCGCCCTGCGCGCAGCCCTCTGCCGAATCGAAGATGTCGCCCGAGCCGTCCCGCGCCTCGTCGTTGAACAAGAAGAGGCGGCGTCGCTTGCTGTACCACAAAGCCACGGTTGGGATGAGGTCCGGAAACCATCGTCGCAGCCCCGAGAACAGATGCGGGAGATGCAGTTGAAGCCATTCCGCTTGTCGTCGGACGCGATGGCGTGGCTCGGGTGGCGCCGGAGGTGTTCTCGCAGCAGCTGGATAGCCACCTCGGCCCCACCGGCAAGCCCCACTCCCACCTGCAGAGGTACGTTGCAGGACTCGGCACGCTCCGCCGCCTCCTCCGCCGACATGCCAAGGCCGCCCTCCTCGGGGGAGCGGAGGCAGATCTCGCGCATCCCTTCACGAATGATGCGCCGAGCGTCAGCCGAGCCGCCAGTCAGCAGGTTGCACATGTCGGTGCAACGGTGCTTCATAAGCACGCGGTTGGCGAGGCGGCGGATCGCGGCCGGGATACCGATCGGCCGGGTGCCGACAAAGTTGCCGTCGTCGTCCCGCTTCTCGATGCCGAGGAGGTTGAGGTCGCCCTTGATTGAAGAAAAGCGACGGCCGACGGCGGTGGGGTACAGCCTCAGGGTCTGCTCGCCGAGTCGCTCCCGTGCACGGGGCCGAGTTTGCCCCGCACCGCTCAACGGTGCCCTCGACGCACCCACACCACCACCGTATGCGCATCCGCAAGCTGCTGGACGCCCCGCTTGGCGTCGAAGTCCTCGACCTGCCCGACGTGTCAAAGGCAACGGATGGACAGATCAAGCAGATCTTCGACGCGATGCAGGGTGAGGACGGCTGCGGCGTGCTGTGCGTGCGCGGCCAGGACCTGCCGCCAGTCGCGCTGCAGGAGGCGCTGTTCAAGTTCGCGCGGTACTTTGGTGCGCCGCTCAAGTACGAGCGCTGGCCGGGCCAGTCGCCCGGCGTCGAGGGCTGCCCGTACCTCGCGCTGCTGGGAAACTACCGAGCGCGCAAGGACAACGACCTCGGCGTGCGGAGCAAGCAGGGCGAGCGCATCGGCGAGTTCAAGCCAGCGCAGAACGTGGTCGAGGAGTGGCACACGGACGGCTCCTTCCTGCAGTCGCCCAAGGCCGGTAGTCGAGATGTGACGTCCCTCTGAACACAGTACACATGGACATGGGGCACCCCAAATGGCTGAAGGAGGGCGGAACCAGACGTCGTGCATGTCACTGCTGCCTGCCATCGCTCAACGATAGGCCGCGATCTGCCTCTACGCGCCGCTCGCGCTTGAGGATGCGCTTCCTCCCGCCGGCGCGGCCACGCGCTTCGCCTCCCCGGCGTGTGACAGTACCCACCTCGGGCGGGGTCACGCTGGCATCGACGGCAAATGACCAGCCGTAGGCGCGGCTGTACGACACGCTCGACGACGAGGAGAAGGCGGCGGCTCGCCGGCCCTCGGCTGATGAACTCACGAGCTCATTCATGACGCAGCTGAGTCGCTGAGAAGGCGCGGCTCGACGGCCTCGGATCGGTTCACTCGTGGGAGAGCTTCATGCGCCACCTCGAGGCGCGGGACTCCCCTCATGACCCTCTCGCACCCTCTCGTCTCCTCTTGCGTGTCTCGCACCCTCTCGTCCCCTCTTGCGTGTCATCCATCATCGCATACACGCAAGACTCGAAGAAGTCTCTTTTAGGCGCGCGACCCGGGACGGCCCAAGGTCACCGCCCAGGACATCGCCGCGAAGCCCGATTGCATCTACCCGCTCGTGCGCACGCACCCCGACACGGGCCGCCGCGCGCTCTTCCTCAACCCAAAGAACACCAAGCGCGTCGTGCGGCTGGGCGCGAGCTGGCCGGAGACGTGTGACGACCCGGCGCCGCCCGACGGCCTGCCCACCGACGCCGACGGGGTCGCCTTCGTCAAGTCGCTCGCCCAGCGGGTCATCGACACCGGCGTGTACGCGCACCAGTGGCAGCGCGGCGACCTGGTCCTCTGGGACAACCGGCAGCTGCTTCACGCGGCGTGACCCGAGCTCACCCGAGCTCACCCGAGATCACGCGAGATCACCCGAGATTAGGCAGCTGATGCACGCGGCGGCGCCCTTCGACGCGGACAAGTACGAGCGGCTGCTCTTCCGCGCCGAGTTCTCGGGCGGGCCGAGATATGGGGAGATATGGGAAGATATGGGGAGATATGGGGAGATAGCGCCTGCAAGGCCGAGCAGGTTCCAGCGCTGCACCGCAGTGAATCAGTCATTAGCCAGTCATTACTCATCGTTGATTCATTACTCATCGTTGATTAACAGGCGAGCCGGTGCTGCACTGGCCGATCGACGCGCCCGTCGCAAGCCTCACCACGCGCCCGCCGTCGCACCCGCTCCAGAGCCCGTGCGACTTCTACCTCGCGGCGAGGCCCGAGAGCGTCGCGTGGGGCTACATCGACCCGAAGCGAGGCGCGCAGCTGGTCGGTCGGCACACCACATCTCTCTCGCCTTCTCTCATCACACGCAGCCGAGGGCAGGTGCACAGCGACATGTGCATGCACATGCACATGCACATGCACATGCACATGCACATGCACACGTTGACATGCACATGCACATGTGCATGTGCATGTGCATGCACGTTGACATGCACATGTCACATGCGCATGTGCATGTGGATGCTGGATGGTACTATCTTAGGCGCGCAGCTGGTCGTAAGCGACGGCGCGACGGTCGCCATCGACACGGTGACGTCGGGCGGCCCGAGATCACCAGAGATCACCCGAGATCACCCGAGATCACCCGAGATCACCCGAGATCACCCGAGATCACCCGAGATCACCCGAGATCACCCGAGATCACCCGAGATCACCAGAGATCACCAGAGATCACCAGAGATCACCAGAGATCACCAGAGATCACCAGAGATCACCAGAGATCACCAGAGATCACCCGAGATCACCCGAGACCACCCGAGATTCATTAGGTCACGTCGGGCGGCCCCGCGTGCCTGCCGTGCGACGAGGACGGCGGCGGCAGCGCGGGCGGAGGCGGCGGCTCCTCGTGGCAGACGCCGAGCGCCCTTCACGAGATCCACCTGCGTGTGCAGCAGGACCGCATCACACACACACACACACACACACACACACACACACACACACACACACACACACACACACCCCGCTCACCCACGCGCGCCGGGCCTTGGGCTTTGGATGCCGTGGGGCTCCTGTCTGTCTAGACGTGGTGTCGCGAGGGCCAGCCTGGCCCTCGTCACCGCCTTGCGTGTGGGATCTCAGGACCGCATCGGCGTCCATGTCCTGACCGGCCCGGTCTTTGTGCGCGGCGCAGCGCCGGGCGACGTGCTGCGCGTCGACGTGCTCGAGGTCGCCTGAGCCCCCCCCCCCCCACCCTCCTCCACCCCACACCCACCCCCCCTCACACAGAGCAACCCGCGTGGATTCCACACGAGACAGAGCTCTCTCCTCGCAAGATGTGGGGAGATATGGGGAGATGTGGGGAGGTATGGGGAGACATGGGGAGAGAGCTCGCCCTCGTAGCCACCGTGAGTCACTCACACAGCGGCATGTGGTTGCTCGAGGTTGCGCTGCTCGCCGACTGGGCTTGGACAATGTCGCGACCGTACGGAGGCGCGCTCGAGTTGTCGCTCGGGCGTTGGGAGGGGGTCCAAATCTTGGAAGCAAGGCTGCCTACTGCTACTAGGCGCGCTCGAGTGGCGCCAGCCGCCGCACTTGCGGCACACGAGGCTCGATGCCAAGGCGGGCGTCGCGCGGCCGCCGTGGGGCGGTGAGCTCGACTTGCGGCCCTTCTTTGGCGTGATGGCGACGGCGCCGCCGGTGGGCTTTGGCCGGCAGTTGTCGATCGCGCGCCGCTGCTCGTCGCGCGGCGAAAGGGTGAAAGAGACGGGGTGAGACATGTTTAGGCAGTCGTCGATCCCGCCGCGGAACGAGTTTGGCGGCAACCTCGACTGCAAGGAGCTCGTCGCGGGCAGCACGCTCTACCTGCCGGTGCACGTCGCGGGCGCGATGTTCGTCGTGGGCGACGGTCACGCGCGGCAGGGCGACGGCGAGTGCTGCGGCACCGCCCTCGAGACGTGCCTGGCCGGCGCCTTCCGCCTTTCGGTCGTCAAGCCGTCGGTGCCGCCGTCGCTACCGGTGGGCGGCCCGCGCGCCGGCGTGCGCGCGCCGCTCACCAGGCCGCGCGCCGAGACCGACGGCGCGCTGATCACGCTCGCGTGCGCGATGCGCGTCGACGACGCCGCGAGCGCGGCGCTCGAGGCGATGCTCGACTGGCTGGGTGAGCTGCGCCCGGCCCTCGACCGTCGCGACGCGTACATGCTGCTCTCGGTCGCCGGCGACGTGCACGTGACGCAGCTCGTCAACGGCACGAGCCGCGGCTGTCACGTCGTCCTACAGAAGCGCTGCCTGCCGCCCGCCGATGGGGAGGCCGGCCCCGCCGCGGCCGTCGCGACCTAGTCCTACAGCTTTAGCGCTGTGTGTGTGCACCTGTGTCTGTGCCAGAGCGCGCCAGTGCATGCACATGTGACATGTCGGTATACTCCGCCGGTCGTTTCTTCTTTCAGCGTTTCCAGATGGGGACGGACGAGTCTCGCCGCGACGTCCTCGCCGCACGTCTCGCCGAAGTCTCGCCGGGGGGGACGGACGAGTCTTGCCCGGAATGGCGCTCACCGCTCAAGTGCGAGGTGGACACTTGCGTGACGCCAACTGCTCTGTGATATGGGTTCGTGCGCCCCGGCTCAGCACAGGCCCCCTCGTCGATCCGGCCGCCCTCTCTTTTGGCTCTCGCCGACCAGCCAGACAGCGCTGCTGGCCAGGAGTCCGATAGTCTGGAATTACCGATATTCTGGAAAGCCGGAGGCAAACGCGGGACCCAAGCACTCCACACCCCCCTCGCACCTATACTCCACTGCCCGAGAGAGAGAGAATTCTTGATACGAAACCACGACGACACACACCAGTCGACTCGCATCGGTTGCCTCCATGAACGGCGGAGCTATTCTCGCGCCCACACCACACCTGGCTCCAACGTGGACACGCCCATAGCTGGGGACACTACTAGGTCACGCATGGCATCACAGAAGTTTTATCTCTGGGCCCCGAAAGGCATCTCTAGCAGTGTCGTTACGCATGCGCCCCCCCCTCCTGGGCGCATGCGCCTCACGTCTCGCCAGAGCATAAGCCCTTGGCGTGTGGCGAGACGAGTTTTTCGCCATCGCAGCGAGCAGCAAGCCGCCCGCCGCAAACAGCCGGAGGCCTCGCCGCGGCACTGGCTGCGCCGCGCTCCCGCACCCGTCGACGAAGCTCCCCCCGCGGAAGACCGCGCGTAGCGACGCCTTGTCGATCGAGATGAGCGTGCCTGAAGCTCGCCCACCTACTGCCCCTGAGAGTTGGTTACGAGTGGGATCAGCTCCCCCCCTTGGGATCAAAGCTTCCACGACCTCGCACCCAACATCTCAGGCGGGATCAGAAGGGGACTCCACACCGGACACCGCCCGGGCACAGCCCCCCTACCCGTCGGATCGCACAGAGGGCCCCCTCGGAGCAGCCCACACACAATCACGCATCGGCAGATTGAGTGCCTGAGTCAGGCAGACAGCACAGACAAGAGGAGAGAGAGGAGAGAGAGAGAGAGAGAGAGGAGAGAGGAGAGGGTGAGGGTGTGAACACACGTGAGGAGTGGGGGAGGGTGTCTGTGGTGGGCTGTAGTCGTACTACGTGGTTAGAACCACGCGCCCCTCAGGAGCTTAAGGTAGAGCTGAGCGTCCAAGACGCCTCGGTGCCACCCACCGGGTGAGACCATCCGGATCTGCCTGCCGCGTCCTCCGTACGCAGCAGTCCCCGCGATGGCCCACGGTCCGCCGTCGCCTGGTTGAACCCCCTGCCTCCCGGTTGACCCCCCGGTCCCCGTACTCGACCATGAAATAAACTCAAAGTCCACCACAGCCACCAGCCTCCACCTCCACCGTCGAGCCGCGATCGCTGCCGCCCGCGACGCCGCCCGCCGCGTCAGATCGCCGCGACGCGCGCATCGAGTCGCGTCGGAGAGCCGCGCCGCACCAGCAGCAGCATCTGCACCAGCAGCAGCAGCAGCAGCACCACCACCACCACCCGAGAGAGAAGCGCACCTGCCCGACGCCGCCCGCCGCGTCAGACGCTCGCGACGCGCGCGTCGAGCCCAGTCGCACAGCCGCGCCGCGCCAGCAGCAGCATCGGCACCAGCAGCAGCACCACCACCACCACCAGCAGCAACAGAGACAGGCAGTGCAGGCGCAGAGGCGCTCGCAGAGCGGCGCTCAGCGCCGCGCACGCCACGCTGCGGACCGTCGTACGAGCGCACCGTACGTCGGCGGCGAGCCGCGTCGCCAGCCGTCTCGCGAGAGAGCGGCGCCGCCGCGTGCGCGCAGCAGCTCTCTCTCTCTCTCTCTCTCTCTCTCTCTCTCTCCACTGCCCATTCGACTCCCATACCTCCAAAAGTTGGAACCCAGTCCTTGCCTGCGCGCGGGCCTGGCTCTTTCGCTCTTTTTGCCCGAGTGCCTCGCATCAGCCTCACCCCCTCCAGTCTGCCTCCGCCCCGGCGGTGGCTCGCGCCGATGCCTCCTTGTGCGGTGACTTCGGCGACGAGCCACGTCCCTCACCCAGGACGGCCGGCGACACCTAACGAACCAGTCGCCGGGCCCATGATGGATGCGAGAGCAAAGGCTGCGGCATTATCAACTGAGAGGTGGCGGGTGGCAGCTGCCAGGATCGGTGGCCGAGGCGAAGCTGAGCTCACAGACGAGCTCAAGCGTAACGTGGTGCTGCAAACTCTCTCCCTCGTCAACAACCAGATAGATCCCTGGTGCGCCGTTGCGATCGCCCAGGTGCTATGGGACGACGTGGTGCTGACTACACTCAAGCTCAGCATCAACATCGGCGAGGAGGGAGCAACCGCCCTCGGCGTGGCCCTCAAGGTTAACACGGTGCTGGCCACCCTCGACCTCGGCGGCAACTACATCCGCGCCGAGGGCGCCGCCGCAATCGCTGAGGCACTGCGCGGCAATGGGGTGCTGACCGATCTGAACCTCTGGGCCAATGGCATCGGCGACGAGGGCGCTAAGGCGATCGGCGAGGCGCTGGCGGTCAACGGGGTGCTGACCTCCTTGGATGTGGGCTCGAACGGCCTCACCGAGGAGGCGGCCCTCGGCATCGTCCGCGTCGAGCGGCAGCGCAACAAGCTTACCTCGCTGGCCTTGGAAAACTGCGGCATCGGCCCGACTGGCGCCGCAGAGATCGCCGAGTACGTGTCGGGCAGCGCGGTGCTGACCGAGCTTGACCTCGCCCGCAACGACATCGACAACGCGGGCGCCGTGGCGCTGGCCTCCGCTATGCGCGTCAATCAGGTGCTGACCGCCCTCGACATCAGCATGAACGTGATCGCCGACGAGGGCGCCGCTGCGATCGGCGGCGCTCTCGCGGTCAACGCGGTACTGAAAAGCATCAAGCTCCGCGGCAACTCGCTCGGCACGGAGGGCTGGTGCGCGATCTTTGCCGCGCTGCGAGACAACAAGGAGAACAAGATTGAGTCATGGGACCTCTCGGGCCAGGGCATCAACGCGGAGATCGCCAAGGTGCTGGTGGAGTATCTCTCGGCCAGCGCGGTGCTGACAACCCTCGACATCAGCCGAAACGAGATCGGCGAAAAGGGCGCCGCTGCGATCACGGCTTGCCCCGCTCGGAGACGGCTCCTGATTCACGGCTTGGAGGCCGCATCGGGCGGCTCCTGCTCGCGGCGGTCGCCGCGTGAGGCCAGCCGCCAGCAGGCGTGGCGGTCCTACCTTGAGCACGACACGGGACTGCTCAAGGTGGGAGGACGCGGCTTGACTGCGTCCGAATGGAATGCACTGGAAGCGAGGGAGCACACGGAAGGGGTGCTGAGGGGCGAGGACGAGGAGTTGCAGGCGGCGCTGCTCGCCAGCCTCGAGAGCATCCCGCATGAGCGGCTCGAGCGCGCGCTGCGCAACTACGAGCGGCACCACGGGCTCAAGCCGGGGTCCGCCACCTTCTGGCAGGCACGAACCCACACGCACACTGCCCGGACGCTGAAGCGGCCCGGGGCTGGCTCAGCGCAAGCGGAGCTCCCGGTGCCCTGGGGGGGGGGCGGGGGGGGGGCGAAACGCGCTATGGGCGGGATGCACGCGGGGCCAGTATCGCCAGGCGTTGGCCCTCCCACCCGAGCCGTCAGCCCTGGGAGCGTCCTCCCACACGAGGCCGTACGCCTCGCGCGTGTGTGCGCAGGTGCAGCGCTCGTCCGCCGGCTTCGGCGGCTGGATCGATGCGTTTGCCGACCTCGACGTGGGCGGACACGACGACGAGGACGGGTTGCTCGTCAGCGGGGCCGAGGACGAAAGCGGCGACAGCGACGACGGGCGCGGCGGCTGCGCGCCGTTGCGAGCCGGCGACGCGGAGGAGGAGGCGGCGCTGCAGCGCGCCCTGCTCGAGAGTGTCGGCGTGAGGTTTGCGGGCGGCGAGGAGGACAGAGAGGGTGTGGCAGACTGAGGGCAAGGAACGAGATCCCTCACCAAGATCGCGCAGGGGCCAGGGCGGGAAACATGGATCCCACTAAATAAATAAATAAATAAATAACGAAACGGACACCTCTACTGTGAGATGGGTAAAAATTCCTAAAAAGGAACAGGTCCCCGCCCTGCGGTCTTTGTGCAGGGTTCTTTGTGGGTGTGGTCGGCGACTAGCCGGGGTCGTCCTCCCGATGGGGGACTAGCACTAGCCGTCTTCCACATGGTCCCTCGGGTCCCTGCTGCTCCTAATGCTAATATCTCTTCGAGACTTCGTACATCTCCTCCTGCTGATCTCCGCAAAGTCCTGCTCCCTCCCTCGTCTCGCCCTGCGCGTTTGCTCTGCCTCCACATCGTCTGCCCTGCGTCGTCTGGCGACTGCGGACTGGTCCTCCATAGTCGGTTTTGAGGTCGCCGCCGGCCTCCTCGTGCCTCTTCCCAACGTTCCCTCGGCGGCTAGGCGCGAGATCGAGCTCGTCTAATCGACGCCCTTTCCTAGACCTTTCCTAGACCTCTCCTGGAACCTTCCTGTAGGCGCGAGATCGAGCTCGTCTACTCGACGCCCTTTCCTAGACCTTTCCTAGACCTCTCCTGGAACCTTCCTGTAGGCGCGAGATCGAGCTCGTCTACTCGACGCCCTTTCCTAGACCTTTCCTAGACCTCTCCTGGAACCTTCCTGTAGGCGCGAGATCGAGCTCGTCTACTCGACGCCCTTTCCTAGACCTTTCCTAGACCTCTCCTGGAACCTTCCTGTAGGCGCGAGATCGAGCTCGTCTACTCGACGCCCTTTCCTAGACCTTTCCTAGACCTCTCCTGGAACCTTCCTGTAGGCGCGAGATCGAGCTCGTCTACTCGACGCCGTTTGCGCTCATCTGCAAGCACATCGATGAGGCGGCGGGCGTGATGGCGCCCGACCCGATCCAGCTCGTCTACCGGCTGATTGTCATCAAGCTGCGGGCAAACTTCGCCGGCCTCTCGGACGCCTCTCGTTCGCGGAGCTCGTCTCGCAGGCGGACTCGCTCGTGTCGCAAAAGATCATACCTCCCCCGTACCTCCCCCATATCTCCCCCAAATCTCGTGTCGCAGGCGGACTCGCTCGTGTCGCAAAAGATCGAGGTGTACTGGGACCTCCTCTCGCTGCAGGACCGAACGAATAGTCTTCATTTGGAGATGTTATAATATGATTCTTAACTATTATGCGGTGTCCTCTCGCTACAGGACCCTGCCGACGCCAAGAGCGGCACAAACACGACCCTGCTGAGCGACTCGATGCCGAAAGGGACTTCCATCCGAGACTTTACCCTCAAGAAGCTGGTCGGCCGCGACGGCTTTGGCAACGTCTGGCTGGCCGAGCGCAAGCGGACGCGCGACCTGGTGGCGATCAAGGTCGCTGTTAATTAACCCTTAATTAACCCTTAATTAACTCTTAATTGACTCTTAATTAACTCTTAATTAACTCTGGTGGCGATCAAGGTTCTCTCGCGCAAGGAGACGACGGTGTGGATGATGAACCGCGCAGTGCTTAATTAATTAATTAATTAGTTGATTAGCCTAATAATGAACTAATTAGGTGCGGATGATGAACCGCGCAGTGCACCTCGAGAAGAACATCCTGGCGCACGCCGACTCCCCGTATGTCATCAAGCTCTTCTTCTCCTTCTCGACCGCCAACCACCTGTACATGGCGATGGAGTACGCGCCGTGCAGCGACTGCTTCTCCCTCCTCTCCTCGCTGGGCTTCCTCGAGGAGGCGATCGCGCGCTTCTTCCTCGGCGAGGCCGTGTGCGGCCTGCAGTACCTGCACTCGTCAGGCCAGATCTCCCCCATACCTCCCTCACAGCTCGTCAGCCATCATCCACCGCGACCTCAAGCCCGAGATGACATCTCCCCCATACCTCCCTCACATCTCGTCAGGCATCATCCACCGCGACCTCAAGCCCGAGATGACATCTCCCCCATCTCGTCAGGTATCATCCACCGCGACCTCAAGCCGCAAAACATGCTCATCACGCGTGACGGCCACATCAAGCTGACCGACTTCGGGCTCTCCGCTGTCGACGACCCGCCCGCCTCTCCCAAGGCAACGAGATTGCCCGAGATTGCCCGAGACCCGCCCGCCTCTCCCAAGGCGGCCGGCAAGGAGCCCCAAGGCGCCGGCGGCAGCAGCCTGCCGTCCAACAAGCACAACTCGCTCGAGGTTGGCACCGCCGACTACCTCGCCCCAGAGATCCTGCGCCGCCAGTGGCACGACCAGCGAGTGGGCGCTCGGCGTGGTCGCCTACCACCTCCTCGCGTAGAGAAGACCCGAGTTAATTCCTCGGCTCATCGTAATTGAGTTGCTTAATTAGGTCGCCTACCACCTCCTCGCGGGCGAGACCCGAATTAATTATAATCGGTTCATCGTAGTTGGTTGCTTAATTAGGTCGCCTACCACCTCCTCGCGGGCGAGACGCCCTTCGGCGACTCGACCGCCACAAAGATCTACGCAAAGGTGCTCGTCGGCGAGTACGAGCGGCTCTCCCCCTCCGACGTGTCGCCCGAGGCGGCGGACTTGCTCTCGCAGCGCATCTAATTCATGTCTGATTCCTTTTAATTCGTGGCAGGCGGTGGACCTGCTCTCGCAGCTGATTGTCCTCGACCCGCCTTGCAGTCATCCACGGTGTTGCACCGCTCAAAGCAATCCTGGGGACGGTTGAGATTAACGCACCCGCCCGCACTGCTCGGCGTGCTGGTTGTGGGATGGTTGACTGAAAGCCAAGTGTAGCCCGCGTAGACCGGAACAACCGCACGGTAGATGTCGTAGCTGTCGCAATTGTTAAGCGAATTGTCTGTGCCGCACTCGCCGTCGCCTTCACACCACAGAATGTGGGTTTCGGGCGCTCAAAAATTTCTCTTCGCCTCGAGCTGTCGCGCAGGTTTTTCTTCTTTCGTTCGCTCACTCGCGCCGCAGATCGCTGGAGCTCCACAAAATTTCTTTGCGCCGGGTTTCGCAAAAGCGCTCAAAAATTTAAACAAAAGAATTTAAACAACAAAAGAACTCTCTCTCACAGAGACACTGGGCACGGGACTGGCGCGCACTGGCACTAACACAGGTGTGAGGAAAGAAAATCTCTCTAATCAACATTGATTGATTGATGGGAAGGGATCGTCCTACAAGATCCTGCTTGTGCAGGTGGGGACCCTGTCCTTCTCCCACCCCTCGTTTGGCGTGTCCGTTGTATTTATTTATTTATGATGGGAAGGCGAACACAGTCCGACCAACGACTGGGACACCCGCGGTACACACACACACCGCGGTGTGGGAGGACGCAGGAAAAGAATTTAAACAAGACAACTCTCTCTCACAGGAAAAGAAATAACCGTCCGCCCGATCCTAGTTGCCATGTGCGCCAGTTCGTGCGAGGGAGCTTTGTTGTAAAATGCTGATCGGTGTGGCACTGCTGGCATCCGCCTCGCTCTGGTCGCGCTCGCCGCCGTCCGCTCCCTCGCTGGCCGGGCTGGCCGAGGAGTTTACGTCTCCCTCGCCGGCCGGGCTGGCTGAGGAGAAGACGGCACCGGGCGTGTATTTCGAGGGCCTCACCTTCTCGACTGGCGGAGAGAAGGGGAAGACTATTCTCCACGGGTGCTCGGGCGAAGCGGCGCCGGGCCGTATGCTCGCCATCATGGGGCCATCGGGCAGCGGCAAGACGACCCTTCTCAACGCGCTCGCCGGCCAGCTCAAGGCAGGGCCAAAGGCAACGCTCACCGGAAGGCTCACCGTCGGTGGCGATTTGTGCGGAGGTGCCGGCGAGGTGTCGGGCCTTCGCGTGGCGTACGTGCGGCAGGAGGACGTCTTCTACACGCAGATGACGGTGCGAGAGACGCTGCTCTTTGCCGCGCGCCTCCGCCTCCCGGCCTCCACATCGCTGGCGGAGAAGGAGCGCCGGGTTGAGGAGATCATCAGCAGGCGCCTTCTTCCCTGCCGCGCGCCTCTGCGCCTCTTCACGCCAATCGCCTCATGCACCCCTCCCCTGCCGCCGCCAGGCTCGACCTCGGACGCGCCGCAGACACCATCGTCGGCGACGGCAAGCGGCGCGGCATCTCTGGCGGCGGCGGTACTCTGTCCGGGTCACGGCCGGAGACCGTCCGAGACATGTCCGCAGGCGCGGCATCTCTGGCGGCGAGCGGAAGCGGCTCGCCATCGGGTGCGAGCTGCTCTCGGATCCTCGGCCGCTCATACACGAATGCGCCCTCCTCGCACCCCTCGGCGCCTCGACACAGTGCGCGCTGTGAGCAGGCTTCTCTTCCTCGACGAGCCAACCTCCGGCCTGGACGCCTTTGCCGCGCAGCAGGTGGCCCGAGATTACCCGAGATTACCCGAGATTGCCCGAGAGTGCCCGAGATTTCCCGAGAGTACCCGCGATTTCCCGCGGCCTTTGCCGCGCAGCAGGTGGCCTCTCGCTTCTCCCCTCTCGGCGATCCCCTCGCACCTCTGGGTGAGACGGCCTTGCGCTTGCGACTCAGGTGGTCACGTCGCTCCGGCGGCTCGCCTCCGAGGGCACCACCGTCCTCCTGAGCATCCACCAGCCCCGAGGCTCCATCTTTGCCCTCTTCGACGACCTGCTGCTCCTCTCGCGAGGCGGAGACCGAGATCTCGGGTAATCTCGGGCAATCTCGGGTAATCTCGGGTAATCTCGGGTAATCTCCTCCTCTCGCGAGGCGGAGACCGAGATCTCGGGTAATCTCGGGTCATCTCGGGTAATCTCGGGTAATCTCCTCCTCTCGCGAGGCAGAGACCGAGATCTCGGGTAATCTCGGGTAATATCGGGTAATCTCGGGTAATCTCCTCCTCTCGCGAGGCAGAGACTTCGCCTCCACACTGCGGCGCCCGACTCTGCGCGCACCTGGGGGCACCCGGCCCCTCCCCCCCCCCCCCCCCTCCTCTCCCCTGCCCGCACAGGCACAGTCATGTACTGCGGCGCCGCCGCCTCCGCCGCCTCCCACTTCGCCCAGCTCGGCCACAAGTGCCCCGCCGGCATCTCCGCCGCAGAGCACGTCGTCGACATCATCTCGACGGGCTATGAGCCCGCCGCCGCCGCCGACCGCCTCGGCTCGTTCGAACGCGCCGCCGCCGCCGCCGCCCGCACCGCCGCCCGCCGCCGCGCCGGCGGCGGCGGCGGCGCCCTCGCCGTCGGCGCTCGGCATGCCGGACGAGCGGTAGGGAGGGCGGGGAGGGTGGCGGGGCGCGCCGCCGCGTCGGGCGCGACGCAGTTTGGCCTGCTGCTGCGGCGCGCGTGGCGCGAGGTCGCGCGCTCGCGAGGAGCGCTCGCGATCAAGGTGGTGCAGCAGCTGATGATCGCCGTCATCTACGGCGGAGCCGCGTGGGCGTCAACGCGCCGCGTGTACACTCGCAGTCTCACGGCCGGCTCGGCTGCTAGGCGGAATCTACTCGCTCGGCGACAGCCAGTCGTCGATTCAGGACCGGTTCGGCCTCCTCTCGCTCATCGCCATCGGCGCGGGAAACCTCGCAATCGCCTCCACGATCCGGGCGCCTCTTCACACCTCGGTAAAGCCCCCTCCTCCCGCCGACTCTCGGCGAGACCCCCCGTGCACCCTGCCGCGTGTAGGCCTTCCCCAAGGAGAAGAGCATCGTCAACGCCGAGCGCGCCAAAGGCATGTACTCGGTCGCGCCGTACTTCCTCTCCAAGGCACGTGCTATCCCGCCGGCCAGCCTCGGCCAGTCTCTCGGCCAGTCTCGGCTGCATCGCCCCCAAGGTTGTCGCGGAGGCGCCCGTCTCTGCGGCCGTCTCCGCGCTCGGCGGCGCCGCTCTCTACCCGCTCGTCGGCGTGTCAACCGCAGCCAAGGGCAAGTCGTGTCCGGCACCACGCCCACGACGTGTCCGAGACATGTCCGTAGGCCTCAACCGCGGCAAGGGCAAGTTCGAGCGGTTCGTGCTCACTCTCGTCCTCGAGGGGCTCGCGTCGGGCGCGAGATGAGCCGAGAGGAGCCGAGAGGAGCCGAGATGAGCCGAGATGAGCCGAGAGGAGCCGAGAGGGGCCGAGAGGAGCCGAGAGGAGCCGAGAGGGGCCGAGAGGGGCCGAGAGGAGCCGAGAGGAGCCGAGAGGAGCCGAGAGGAGCCGAGAGGAGCCGAGAGGCGCCGAGAGGAGCCGAGAGGAGCCGAGAGGAGCCGAGAGGAGCCGAGAGGAGCCGAGAGGAGCCGAGAGGAGCCGAGAGGAGCCGAGAGGGGCCGAGAGGAGCCGAGAGGAGCCGAGAGGAGCCGAGAGGAGCCGAGAGGAGCCGAGAGGGGCCGAGAGGGGCCGAGAGGAGCCGAGAGGAGCCGAGAGGAGCCGAGAGGAGCCGAGAGGAGCCGAGAGGAGCCGAGAGGAGCCGAGATCCACTCTCGTGGGCTCGCTCGGCCTCTGTTCATGCGCGCGTCCTGTGAGCGGCGCCACTTCACGTCGCACCGCCGCTGTGAACAGAATGTTCAATCTCAATGTCCCACCCCTTTGCGTGCGGGCCTTCTAGGCCCGCGGGTAGTCTCCCCTCACCCCCAAGGCCTCCAGGGCTCGCACCTCAACCTCTCACAGACCAGCGCTCAGCGCCATAGGACGTATTTTCTTCTCAATAACAAGGTCTGTGAACAGGCGCGCTCGGCCTCTTCATCGGCGCCGTCGCCCCGACGACCGACACGGCGCTCGCGCTCTTCCCGCCCTTCCTCGTGCTGATGATCGTGTTTAACGGCCTCCACGAGATCTGCCGAGAGAGGGCGAGATGCGCCGAGATCGCCCCGAGGGCGGGCGGTATTGGACCCAGAGAGCGTGCTGGACTCCGAGCGGGTTGTCCTCTCCAGACTCGCCTCTTTCCTTCTGATTCCGTCAGGCTTCACCTAGATGAGATTACCCGAGATTACCCGAGATTACCCGAGATTGCTTCGGATTCCGTCAGGCTTCAACATCGCCGAGGAGAGCACGCCCCGCGCACTGCGCTGGATTCCAAAGGCCTCTGTTCCTCCGCTGGCGCTTGCCCCGAAACGCCCCGCGAGCAGCCGAGAGAGCTCCCGGCATCTAGGTGTCCTTCGTCCGCTGGTGCGGGTCATCTCGGGCAATCTCGGGTAATCTCGGGTAATCTCGGGTAATCTCATCTAGGTGTCCTTCATCCGCTGGTGCTCCGAGGGCCTCGCCGTCAACGAGTTCAGCGGCCTCCGCTTCTCGTGCAAGGGCGCGCGCGGGCCGTGCTGCGAGACAGGCGAGCAGGCGCTCGAGCGCGTCTCGTTTGGGGGCGCGTCGGCTAGATGCATTCCACCGTATCCACCGTATACGACTGTGTTGAGACGCCCTCGACGTCGGTGCATTCCCACGAAGGCTCGACGGTGCGCGGTGCGGCGGTCGCGCAGGCCAAGCTGGTGGGAGGCCTCTACGTGGCGACCTTGCTGGTGCTGCGGCGCAGCTCTCCCAAGTTTCTGCGCGTCGAGCCATGTCAGGCCTAGATTTGTACCGACTGCCAGCCCAGTGAGGTGCCAGGTGGCGCTTACCACTGAAAAGGAGGTTTTTTTGGAGCCCCTAAACGCGTCATAATAGCCGCACGTTTGCACTCGCCGTGCCTTGCCATCTCCGAACCGCGCCCCCCTCGCCGGGCAGGCCCTCCCGGGAAACTTCCTACTTCCTGCCGCCGACGTTGCCGCTTGGAGCTGCGGCTAGGAATGCAAAGGCCGGTTGGGCCACAGAGACGAGTCTATCGTGTGGGGCGCGTAAAGAAAAAGCCGTAACTTTTCCTGGGCGGGGGGGGGGGGGGGCGGGGGGCATACGTGTACGTGGGGGAAGGACGGACCGTGAGTTGACGGAAATCGGAGGACGCGACCCACTTCGCCACAGACGGTCCCGCGCCTCGCCGCTAAGTTTGCGGCACGCCCCGCACCGTCCGCTGTGCCGCGTTTTCTGTCCGGAGTGAAAAGTCCAACGCGCTCGTCGGTGACGGCTTCCTCCAACCTGCGCGCCGCGCTCGGCGAACCTCGACAGCGCCTTCGGTGGCATGCAGCTCTTTGCGCCTGAAGCCTGGAGTGAAGCTCCTCTGCTGCTCACACACTCTGCACAGATGGCACAGCCCACTGTGCGGCTGCCACAGCTGTGACAGCGATGGGCTCGCCCTCACTGGCCCTCAGTCACTTGTGCTGCGGCTTGTGTGAGCGACACTGCTCGGCGACTGCCGGCACACTGTGAGACCGTGGGTGTGTGAGGTAAAACCACGCTACCAGCGCTTGGTCACATCGGCCCTGGGGTCATATCCTTCTCCTCTGTTGATGGTAACACTTGTCTACTCGCTGGAGCCGAGCAGGAGGGCTTGGCGCACAACCCCTGTTCAACTCAGCTCTCAGGCTTGTTGCACGAGTATATGGGACACGATGTCTCAAATATGAGGGGTTTTGACTCCTACCGGCTCCTGACGCTATCCCTGGCAGCTCTAATGACCAGGATCAGTAGTGTTGTGATCGAGGGTGCCCATACTAGCGCAGGAGCTGCCACACTCGCCCGGACCGTCCCCTTCTGGGGCCGGTTCCGCAGCCCGCGAGAGCCGACAGCGGGGCCGTGCCGCGGGTGCCTACTGCCGAGTGCCACAAACACTGCGCCGTCCCGCCATCACCTACAGGCTGTCTTGTGTGATGGTTGGGATGTCCAAACGCCACCATCTTGGCTCTTGCGACCTCAAACCCGCGAGCTGTATGGGTGGTCCTGACGTCGACAGACGCCCGATGACCACGGTGAAGCTGAGCCGGAACGCGTCGACAGGTCTCATCTGAGCCCGTGGCGGTCGCCGGCTGAGTCGCTGTGCACGGACCGGTACCTCAGGCGTCACCTCCGCAGCCTCAGGTCTCACACTCCATCACCTCCGCCGGGACGCCGTCGGTGGCACGCTCGGCGGCGAGTTTGTGGCAGCCCCACAGCGAGCGCGGCGTCGAGCCCATTCGGTCTGGTCGGTTCGCGGCACTCCCTGGGTGCCAGGGAGTGCCGCCGACACGCGAGCGGTGCTTCCTGGCAGCGCGCGCCGGCTGTGGGGCTGCAACAAACTCGAGAAACGCTTTTTTGGGACATTTTCGACGCTTTTGGCGCGGATTCCGCTGGGAGGAACACGGAGCTCCGTTGGACGCGTTTTCAAGATTAGCGTGTCAGAGTGAATTGGAACTAGCCAAAAGTAGTCGCGCTTGTGGGCCGCGAAGAGTAACGGAAACTACGTACAGAAACGATGTATGTACGCTCGAAACTTCGCTACTAACATTGCGCACTGACCCAGGCCGTAGCGCCGCGCGGAAGACGGCGCGTGGGGCCGGGTCAGTCGAGTCCTGCGGTGGCCGCACTGGTGGCGCGCGGGCATCGCCTGCGGCTGGGACGTGGAGCTCGTGGCGGAGGGCGCCGTGGCCTCGCTCACGCGCGCAGCAGCACGGTGTACGGAAACCAGAAGCTTCTCCCACCGTCCTGGATAAGCTTCGCCGCCCGAAAGCAAGAGCCAAGAGCGACGATCTTGTACTCGTGGCCGACCATCGCTTCCATGACTCCTCCTTCAGTCCATCCCGCTATCCCGTCGGCTCCAGGCGCCACCTGCTTGCACTGCTCCTTCACGAACTCGGCGTCGCCGCTCACTTGCACCGCCATGCCAATCTCGAGATCCTCGTAGGAAAGGGCCTTTCCTCGGCGGCGCGTGCGGGGAGTCGCCTCGCCCGTCACTTTCTCGCGGTACGCTCGCATCACCAGCGCTGGGTGCTGCAGCAGAAGCTCGTCACGCTCGAGCGCCGCCAGGTCATCGACGAGCGGGAACCGAACGTGCTCGAGCAGCCCGCGCGCCACCTCGCTCGAGGCCGCCGGCTGCTGAGCGGCGAGCCACGCCTTCGCCGCGCCCAAAACCGCCTCCTCCTTCGCCACCTTGAGCTCGTCGCTCGCCAGCAGCGCTCCGACCATAGCCGCGGGCAGCGCGGCGAGCGCCGCGCCGTCCTCCGCAGCCGCCGCCTCCTCAAAGGATGCCAGAGCCACGTCAGTGGCGCTCTGCCGGAGTGACGAGAGCGTCAGCGCGTCGGCGAGGGCCAGGCCGCGAAGGCAATTGGACGCGTCGAGGCGCTCTGCGACAGCGGCCTCGCATGCCGCCTGCAGCGGCGCGATCTGGAAGTGGCACGCCGCACGGAGCAGCGGTTGCAGCTCGTCCTGCGAAGCCAGCGTGCACTCTTGCAGGTACAGGAAGTCCAGCGCTCGCTCGAAGATCGAGGAGGAGATCTCCTGAAGCTCAATGCGCGGCATCCCGGCCTCGGCGAAGCCGCCGCACACCAGCGCGGCGAGGCACGGCGACTCGGCCGCAAGGACGACGCGGTGGGCGCTGAAGCTCCTGCCCTCCACCACGAGCTCCACGTCGCAGCAGGTGCCCGCGCGCCACAGCTTGGCCAGGCCCGCGCGCAGGCTGCCCTCAGAGGGCTCGGCCCGCACGACCAGCGCCGTGGACGGAGCACGGGCGCGCTTGCGCGATGGCATCGAGTAGGACCTATGTCCCCTGTCGTGTCAATCGGAGCGCAGCAGATCGCAGCAGGGACCGCTGTCTGGCACGACAAGGCCACCTGCACTAACTGTGTTTTTTGGTGATTCATAAGAAGAGCAAAAACGTTCTCAGCTCACCGGCCCTGGATGTGAGGTTGCCGACTGCACTCCAAGTGCTCCAAGTGCGCCATGAACAGAACGTTCAGTATCGGTTCATAAACCGGGTGGTTCATGAACCGTGCTCCGCCTGCTGCCTCCATGAACAGAACCGTTCATGAACCGTTCGTGAGCCGGGCCTGGTTCATGAATGGTTCATGAACAACTGCTAGCACACTCCATCACCTCCGCCGGGACGCCGTCGGTGGCACGCTCGGCGGCGACTTTGTTGTCGAGTTGTCACTGTTGCAGCCCCACAGCGAGCGCGGCGTCGAGCCTACTCGGTCTGGTCGGTCGGCCGCACTCCCTGGGTGCCAGGGAGTGCGGCCGACACGCGAGCGGTGCTTCCCGGCAGCGCGCGCCGGCTGTGGGGCTGCAACAAACTCGAGACTAGGTCCAGCCCTGGGTGAGCCGGGTTGTGACATTTGGCGATTCCGCGGCTTACTGGGTCCCTGAGCCGCTCCCCGTGTGCGATTCTTGTGGCCCAGGCATGGTACTGATAGTAAACGGGTCAGAACCGGCCAAACACAGGCTACAGCCCCACACACGCGCCCGCCATAGCTCCTGGAGAGCATGCGCGAGTGACGCGCTACAAGCCGCGAGAGTGGCATCAGAGGCAGGAACGACGTGCTCTTGCTGCATCTCGCAGCTGCACCAAGTGTGCTCGCAGTGTATGCCACGGCCGCCGCCTGCGGCATTGCTCTCGTGCAGCTAGGCGATGCAGGTCTCCATCAGCAGGGCTCATCCAATGCGAGCGCACATGTGCGTAGCCGCGGGCAGGTGGCAGTGCACAGCCGCACACCGGCTGTGGCGGCTCGAATGCCCCCGGCAGCAATGCTGGTCATTAACTTGCGTATTGGGGCCGCAGCAGACTGCTGCTGTGGCAACAGCAGCAGCCTGCTGCTGCCTGATTCAGTCAAGCCAGCGGTGCAGCGAGGCGTGCAGAATTCGCGCGGTTTGGTACCTCCTTCCTGAGGCTGAGCGCGTTCAGACCCGGTGACCGGAGTTGGATGGTTCGATGGAGCTCGGCGAGCTCCATCGAACCATCCATGGCCGGACGGCGGAGCGTGAGGCTCTGGGGGGAGGCGGGGGCCCAAGAGGGTATCCATGCGGGGGGGAGATGGGGTCCCACGGCCCGCCGCAGGCGCCGATTTTTTCGGGAATTTTTTCTTTTTTGCGCGATTTTTTACTTGTTTTCAAGGAATTCGCCGTACTTGCGGCCATGCTATCACGCCTTGCGACAGCCTGTCGGCGCTGCTGACCGTGCCCTGCTGCACAATTGACCACCTGCATAGCTCGCGGCCTTAGTATCAAGCATTCAGTGACGACCTGATCGTACGGCCAGTAGGAAGGTGTCCTTCCAGCGCGTGCACGCTTCTGACGCAATGCGCGTCACAAACTGCCTCGGCGACTGGCTGCTGGCACTCTCGAGGCTATGCCTACACAGCCTCGCGCGCATGGGCAGTCAAGAGGGACCATGCACTTTCTCAGGACAGCGCCAGTGCCTCTCCCTTGGACCGGCAAACGTGGTGGTCTCGTGTCACCAATGTGGGACCAGTGCGGCATCGCGCCATCGACAGCTCTGAACTGCGCCTCACCACTGACCGGGAAGGCCGCCAAGTGGGCCAGCACCGGTCACACATTGTGGCAGCAGTCAGCAGTTATCTGATAGCTAGAGCAGCAGCGTCAGGGTCGCAGGGTCGGATCATGTCAAGCCTCTCGCCCGGCCGGCCGCGTGCAGACGTCGGCCTGTCTGCTGTCTGGAGTGATCTGTCGGCGGTCAGTACGACCGATCAGGTTGGAGGTTTCTCATGATTGGAGGGTCTATCTGTGTGTACTCCTCGAGATCTCTCCAAATCTGCCCTCTGATTAACCTAGCTTAATCGGGAAGTCGGTGCTAGTAGAGACTAGTAGAGCCGGAGCCCCGTTTCCGCACTGCGGCGCGGCGCACGGTGCCTCCGGGGGCCCCCACCTCCCCCCAGAGGCGTGAGGTGGCGAGCGGAGAGATGTACCGCAAGACGAGAAAACACGGATCTGACGCGATGTCACAAAACGTCAGATCTGGCTCACCCAGGGCTGGACCTAGTCTCGAGACACGCTTTTTTGGGACATTTTCGACGCTTTTGTCCCATACTAGCAGACCTTGCGCGCACGCGCGCCAAATTTGTTTTTCTGTCTGCAACAACAGCCCGAGGGGTGAAATGTCTTTGTTGTCTCTGTAATGAAGGGCCCGCCGCTCCGCCTACGCCGGCGATGACCCTCTCGGCAGAGCGACATCGCGAGCACCGGGCAGAGAAGGACGCAGAAGCGGTTGGATGGAGAGGCAGCCGGCGCACGAGGAGAGGCAGCCGATGGAGCCGACGAGGTGAGTAGACACGAGTTTACCTTCTGCCCGGGGGGGGGGGGGGGGGGCTCAAGCCCTCCCCACCACTGCTACTCTGTACTGCATGCAACTCAGCAGTGGTCGCAAGCGTCGCAAAGGGCAGGGAGGCAGCCTCGCGCGCTGTCGAACGCCCCCCCGGCCCAGACAGAGGCATCACAGTCATGCTCTGGCCAGCGTCTGGTGGGTCGGCATTGCGCAACACACGCCGCAATCAGCCTGAGAGCAGATGATGGGGTGGGCGCAGGTGGACGAGAGTGGAGCCGAGTTGGGTGGGAGAGGGAGCACGCACGTGCAGCGGTGCCGAGAGTGGGTTGAGATGGCACCGCCTGCGGCCGCCCGGGCGGCGACGGCTTGCGCAGGTATGTTTTGTTCATGTCCTTATCCGCCGCCGCTTGGCTGCAGCAGCCAATGACGCCGCCCGCCTTTGCGAAGGGGCATCTGGACGCGCTTGGCGGTTGACGCCGGCCCGCCACTGCGCCTCGTGCGCGTCCACCTCCGTCGAGGTCGACGCGTCGAGATCGGCGCGCATCACCGAGATGCCAGAGCCCGCCTTCGCCGACATGATTCCCCGCCGGATAGCTCGGTGAGTGGTGCCGTCGCCCGAAACGGAAAACCGGACACGGGAAAATATAAGGTAAGATACTCGTGCAACAAGCCCTCAGGGTCCTTCCCCTTTACTCTAGAGAGAGAGAGCGGGGGTGGGAGGCATCTTTGTGGGCCACCGAAGGGAGTAACATGAGTTTTGCAGACCCCCTTATTGCGTTGTTTCACAGTGTTTCACCCGCCACCACACGCCGGTACACTCGGGCACGAAGCAAGCCTCGCCGTCGTCGGCGACGTCTGCGAGCAGCGCCTGTAGTAGTCGCGTCACGCGCAGATTAACTCGCCGCACCGCGCTGAGCCATCTCTCGGCTCGTCTCTCGGCGAAAGGCGACGCCTCTGCGCGGCGCGCCACGCCTTTGCCGAAGAAGAAGCCGAGGGTTGCGAGCGCGGCGCGGCGGCTCTCGAAACGGTAGTCGGTGCGCACGACCTGTGCGCAGCACCGGGTGTGAAGAGACGCCGTTCGCGGCTCTGTGCAAGCGGCGGTCGCACGTGCGCTCGACCCGCTGCGAGAAACCGCGCGCGGTATAGTGGGCGTACAGGTGCGAGCCTAGGGGCGGACGGGCGCATCACGCCTCGGGCCCCCCTTGAAAGCGAGCAGCCATCCACACGGTGAGGCAGAGGCGAGAGTGCCGTCTCGCTGCGGCGTCTCGGTCGCGGTGCCCATCGTCTCGAGGAGGATGGCCACCCCCCCCTCCACAAGGACGCGGTCCATTTCACGCAGCGCCGCGTCGACCTACTGCGCTCGGGTGACCTCGCGGGTGACCCTCGCGGTCGTCTCGCGTGGTCTCGGACCATCTCGGCGGGGCGAGGCCTCCTCGCGCCACGCGCCGCCGTAGGAGCCGTCGGCGTGCCAGACCTCGTGCTCGCTCTTCAGGTAGCTCAGCGCCCAGCCGGCCAGCGCCACGTCCACCGACCCGTCTGGCAGCGGCAAGCAGCGAGCGTCCGCCTCGTCAAAGCTGATGTGCGCGGCGGCAGCTGAGGCGGCGCGAGCCACGGCGAGCGCGCCGGCGGAGCGATCGAAGGCGTGCACGCGGCCGCACGTGGGTGCGAGCAGCCGCGTCAGCTTGCCCGTCCCGGCGCCGATGTCGGCCGCCGAGCCGCCGCCGCCGAGCCGCGGCGCGAGCGTGTGCAGCTCGCGGCGGAGGTTGCCAGCGTGGTCCTGGCAGCGGCACAGCTCGGTGTCGTAGCGCGCGCACTCACGCTCGCTCGCGTAGACCGCCTCGTGCTTGGCGCGGAAGGAACGGGTGGCGGCCGCCTCCAATGCGTTGTCATCCATGTCGGTGCCCGGGCACACGCTCGGCGCTCTCGAGGTCTCTTGGAGGGCAATGATCGTCGGAGGGGTACCCTGGGTGGGCGGGGCCTCTACTCGCCAGGGCTTCGGCGAGTACCTAGGTGAGCAAAAAATGAATTTTACAATAACAACTCTCTCTGAAAAGAGAATGATTTAAACGAGTGTTCCCACTACGCTATGGCCTATGCCACCGTCGCCCATCCCAACTGCAGTCAAGTTCCATAAACGCATTCGGACGGTGCAAGCCGCAGGCGCAGCCCAGAGCCGCGAGCGCGATGGCGGCGGCGGCTCGCTTCGCTCGCATTGCCATTGGCGCGGAGGCCGGAGAGGCAGAGGGGCAGCGCTTTGTAACGATGGCATCGGCTGTAATATATAAGTCCTTGGCCCGACCGAACGAGAGTGTGTACGAGCGAGGGGCGTGTGTGTGGACCCTATTCACGGCGTCGCGCGTACGCTCGTCGCGACTTGCGTGCGGCTGAGAGTGATCTGGCCGTACCGGGCCTCCGCAGCGAGCAGCGTGAAGGGATGAGTGGAGCATGTGGCATGGAGAGCTGCGCACGAGCGGAGCGCGAGATGTCGCTCGTGGCAGCAGCATGGTGCGGGCAGCAACGTGACCACGCGACGGCCTAAGCCGTGTCGATAGTCATGATCCTGAGTCAGTAAGCGAGAACAGAGCATGCATGCATGATCAGAGCCCCCAAGCTGCCTTGCTCGACAAAACGGTTCGGCACGTCATGCCGCGTGTCATGTTGTTCCAGTCCTCCGGGGCGTCGAACCTTTTTGCCCACTGCTGTGAGCGACCCTGCAGCTGCGCTGAGTCCTTCTCCTTTTGGCACCAGCCGCTGCTGCTGCAGTACTTATACACGCTGCCGCCGCACCGCTGTTCCTCAGGCAAAAACGCCACGTGGCCCTTGGCTGCGTTATAGGAAATCCTTTCGGGCCGCAATTCACGTACGTGCTGCCAGGCTCGTCGGTGGCGCACATCACGGGAGACGTGCACAAGCGATACTTCGCGAACCCCCCGCATCTATCTCCGGCGGCAACAGAGTCGCAGCAGCCTCTGCCGGTGCACGTGGCGGTGTCGCTTTTGAGCGGTGCCATGCAATCATCGTGAGTCTCAGCCCACGTGGGACCACAGACCGTCCCGAAGTTTTTGTTGTTCTTTGCCATTTCATCGAACATGTTCGTGCAATCGTTCGCGGACCAGTAAGTACCCTCATTGCGGTACGGGTCCGCACCACGCGTGTACGAACCGCACTCGCGTCCGCACACGACCCCGGACATCCCGCCGTAGTTGCACTGGCCTGCGCCCCGGCCAGTGCAGAACTGATCCAGGGCCCACGTCCTGTCGGAGTACTTGCACCGGTTGATCACAGCCCGAGCCTCAAGCGACTTGATCCAATAATTATGCAAGTTCTCGCGCTCGTTGAGAAATTGGTTTCTTGTGAAGTTGTTACAGTCGAAGGTGCATGACCCGCCTGTCTCGTTCCTGTCGAGGTCTCGCGTTCTTTCCCATAGCCCAATGAAGTTGCTGTCGAACATGAATTCCGCCGCCATGAAAAGGTCAAACGTCGAGAGATACTTACTGAGCTTGTCCCACTGCACGCCAATGCCGGACCTATCGTCGGCGACGGTGTCCGCGGTGCCCGTGTCGTGCCAGTGTTGAAAGCACAGACCGCTATCAGGGGCGTGAGGCATGTCATAGTTGCGCGGGGACAGTCGTGCAGGTAAAAAAGGGCGTCGAGAGACGGACAGCGTTCCGCAGCATTCATCTCAGTCTCTCAGCCCTCGGCACACCGCGTGCGTCCGCCGAGGTCCCAGATCCAGCGCAGGCCTCGCGGCACCTCATCGACGTTGTGCGTCGCGTAGCAGCATCCGATTCGCACCTGCGGCAACAACTCTGCGTCGAGGGAGGCAGGCTGTGTGGCGCGTCGCGGTCATGGTGATGTGTGGTGGCAAGTGCCGTGCAGGGAGGACTGAGGGTCGGGCGCACCAGGGCCGCATGCAGCGTCGTTGTGCCCGTGTGCGAGAGCCCCACCCCAATCACGCGAGTGCCGTTGAAGGCGGGGAAGCGAGAGCCGCCACAGGAGGCCCCGGCACTCGGGTCACACGGCCAGCGCGATGGGCACGGCACGCGTGGCAGCGCCGCAGGGACGGACACGAGTATCATGAGAGCTGGGCAGGGGCGGGCAGGTAGTCCGCGCGGACGCCCGCACACCCGCACACCCGGGGGCGAGCGGCAAAACTTGTGCGTGCCCGCCGCTTTGTCCCCGCTGTGAAGCCTGTACAGCTGAGAAAGGCTCGCACACACGTCCGTAAACTAGCGCTCGCCTGAAAGGTCTGTGGATTTCAAACCCAACTCTGTCGAGCCTTAGCTCGGACAGGGGCTGTGACGGTGGTGTACATGTAGGACCTCCTGCGGGTCTGTGTGCACGTGTGTGTGTCTCTACTCTTTGGCCTGTGCCTGCACTGTCACATGCACCAGGGAGTTTCCGGCAATCCAGAAAACTAGCCCCAGCACTTTGCGTTTCCGGAAATTCCCAGGAAGAGGGTGTTATTTGGTGATCCATTTAGGCAAGTTTCTCGAGTTTCCCTGAATCTGAGCTCGCGTCGGAGCACTTAATTGGAGCACTTGGAGTGAGTGCAGTCGGCAACCAACCAATCTCCACCGAGGGCCGCCGGGGGAGCTTGTGTGTGAGAGAGAATGAGAGAGAGAGCTCTCTTGTGTGTGTATGATGCTGCGCATGCGCAGCGCACCCAGCGGGCCGGATGCTCGGGGCGGGCTAGAGCAAGAAAGCCCTGAGCCTGGGGGGGTGCGCGTTTGCAGGGAAGGGGCCTAAAAAAGAACGAAACGTTTTTCTTTTATTTTTGCGCGCGAGAGAGCCTTATTCCCGCGAAAGAGCGTCTGAGGATTATCGATGCTGGTTTACGTAGTTCTACAGCGCGACGCGGCGGTGGCACCCAACGGCACTGTTCACGCGCTCCTCCTCCCCTCCGCCGACGGCGAGTGGGAGGAGCTCTCCGTCGGCCCGTCGCAGTTCGCGGGCGCCGGCTTTGGCGTCTTCCCGCGGAGCACGGCGCGGCTCGACTGGGGTGCGCTCGAGACGCCGGTGCTGATGCCGTATTTGGGGCTCGAGACGGTGGTGCAGGATGCGCACCTCCTCAAGCTCCTCCTCCGCGTGCTCCAGGGAAACTTTGTCCCGCTGACGGTGAGCGCACGCTTCGCCCGCAGACAACACCGCGCACCGGCTCTCATAGCTTCGCTCGGGCGGACCGGCTCAGACGCCCCCCTGGAGCGCGCACGCCGCGACTCTGCACGCACGCGCCCGCCGCCTCGCCGCCACCTCGCCCGCCCCACGGCCCGCCCACCGATCCCCGCCTCGACTGGCGCACCCGCTGACGCGTCGACGGCGTACCGTTTCGCAGGCGGGCGAGGTGGCGGCGGCGGGAGGGGGGCAGCTCGTGGCGGACGGCCTGTGCGCAGTGCCCCCCGCCGCCTTTGGTGGGCGGCGGAGGGGCGCGCCGCCGCCGCCCCTCGCCCCCGGCACAGAGCTGCTGCAGGTGGGCGCACGCTCCGCGCGAGATAGAAGACCCCGTAGGCAGATGAGCCGGGAGCTACCCGAGATCTGGCCGAGATCCACCCGAGATCTGTCCGAGATCTGTCCGAGATCTGGCCGAGATCCACCCGAGATCTGTCCGTGATCTGTGCGAGATCTGGCTGAGATCTGGCTGAGATCTGGCCGAGATCCACCCGAGATCTGGCCGAGATCTGGCCGAGATCTGGCTGAGATCTGGCCGAGGTGGCCCCGAGCCGCTCCCCTGCAGGTGGCACACACCTGTGCCGCCAACGCCTTTAAGGGGAAGGTGCAGTCGCTGTCGGCGGGCCGCGGGGAGGTCGGCCGAGATGTCGCCGAGATGTCGCCGAGATGTCGCCGAGAGGTCGCCGAGAGGTCGCCGAGATGTCGCCGAGATGTCGCCGAGATGTCGCCGAGAGGTCGCCGAGATGTCGCCGAGATGTCGCCGAGAGGTCGCCGAGATGTCGCCGAGATGTCGCCGAGAAGAGAGAGACCTCGCCGGCCGGCTGCGTGGGGTCTGCTGCCTGCTCCGAAGGACGTGTCCCAGGGACGTGTCCCAGGGACGTGTCCCAGGGACGTGTCCCAGGGACGTGTCCCAGGGACGTGTCCGAGGGACGTGTCCCCGACTCGCCACCGGAGCCCGTGGCGCCGCAGGTTTGCTACCTGCTGAGCGAGGAGGTGCAGGGTGTGCTCGGGCTGGGCGGCGAGGGGCGGGGGCACCTCTGGCAGCTGCTGCTGCTGCACATGCCGCCGCCACAGCCGACCCGCATCTGCCGGCGGAGACTGTTGGCGGAGACTGTTGGCTGGGTCTCGGCGATAGGCAGCACCAGCACGCCGACCGCAACTTGGCGACGCACGTGGCGCACGTGTGGCGCAAGGAGGAGGGGTACGTCCTCATCAACGCGCACCCCGCCTTTGCCGAGCCCGTCTCGCTTGTCGGTGCGCTCGAGGGCTCACCCGGCCAGGGGGGGGCGTTCCTCGAGCTCTCCCCCCATCTCCCCCCATCTCCCCATTCTGCCCCCTCTCCTCCCGGCCTTCTCTCTCAAGAAGCAGCAAGTGTTGTCTTTCACTCCCCATCTCTCCCCATCTCTCCCCATCTCTCCCCATCTCTCCCCACTCGCCCCATCTCCCCCCATCTCTCCCCATATCTCCCCATCTCTCCCCATCGAGCTTTCCCTCTTGAGGAGCCTTCCCTGCGCCTTCCTGCAGGCATGATCAACGAGCCGCCCGCCGGCGAGGCGCCGACGACGCGCATGATCCAGGCGCGCGGAATGATCTCGGCCGCACCTCGGCCGCACCTCGGCCGCCCCTCGGCCGCCCCTCGGCCGCCCCTCGGCCGCACCTCGGCCGCCCCTCGGCCGCACCTCGGCCGCACCTCGGCCGCCCCTCGGCCGCACCTCGGCCGCCCCTCGGCCGCACCTCGGCCGCACCTCGGCTATCCCTCGGCCGCCCCTCGGCCGCACCTCGGCCGCACCTCGGCCGCCCCTCGGCCGCCCCTCGGCCGCCCCTCGGCCGCACCTCGGCTATCCCTCGGCCACACTTCGGCCGCCCTTCGGCGAGAAGTCACTCGCCGCATGGCCCAGGCGTACGCGCGGCTGCTCGACGACGCAGACCCGCTGCTCGCCGCGCGAGGGCTGCGCCAGCCTGACGGCGCGCGAGAGGCGCGCGCGCGCGCGCGGCGCATCACGCTCGCCCGAGATCGGCCGAGATCGGCCGAGGTGCAGCCGGGGTCTCAGCCGAGGTCGGCCGAGGCGGTAGGCGTGGGTGGCGCACACGCTGCCGCCGCAGGGCGCCGCGCCGCCGCCGAGAGGCGTCCCCCACTCGCTGAGCGAGCGGATGGTCCTCTATTGCACCACGCGCAAGGCTTATCGCGAGGGCAGCGAGATCAGCGTCGACTACGGCGGCCGCGTCGCCGAGATTGCGCCGAGATTGCGCCGAGCTTGCGCCGAGATTGCACCGAGATTGCGCCGAGGTGGAGCCGAGATGACGCCGAGAGATCGAGGCGAGGCGGAGCCGGTCGGCCTCTGGCTGCAGCGTCGCACGCGACCGCGTCTCATCCACGCCGAGCTTTACCCTCCCCTACCCCCACGGTACCCGAACCCAACCTCCCCTACCCCACGGTACTCACCCGAGGTGGTGCGCGGGCTGTAGGCGTCTCGTATTCGCGAGACTACGCCTCCTCAAAACACCGCGCCACGCCGGCGCTCTACAAGGTGCGAGCGAGAGGAGCTTTGAGCCGAGAGGGGGCGGGAGGGGGCTCAGAGGGAGGCGAGAGGGGGCGAGGGGGCGACGCGTGTGCATCCCAAACGGCCGCGCCGGCATGCCACGAGGCGCTGCCCTTACCACTCTCCCGCCGCACCGCACTTCGGGCGCCCCGCTCTCATGCAGGTGCCGTCGGACGAGATGTGCCCGCGCGATTGTGCGCGCGCGCGCTGGCCGCAGCTGCCGGGCTGGCACAACCCGGACATGCTCTTCCTAGACACTTCCGAGACACTTCCTAGACACTTCCTAGACACTTCCTAGGCACAACCCGGACATGCAGCCGCGTCGCCGGCCGCTCTTCCGCAAGGACGCGTCGTGCGGTGGCGCCATCCTCGTCTGCCCGGACGACCCCGCGCTCGTGCGGAGGCGCGCGCACGCACGCACACGCGCACGCACGCACACGCGCACGCACGCACACGCACACGCACACGCACACGCACACGCACACGCACACGCACACGCACACGCACGCACACGCGCACGCACGCACGCACGCGCGCACGCACGCACACGCACACGCGCACGCACGCACACGCGCACACGCACACGCACACGCACGCACGAGAGCACACGCGCGCAAACAACGCGCGCAGCACGCACATACACAAGCGCACACGTGGCGTGTCCTTGGCGTGTGCGGGCTCCGGGGCTCCTGGCCTGGCCCACGGGGCGCAGAGACGCGAGGAGCACCCTTTGAGTACCCTTTGCATCAAGACGTCTCCTGCCCCTTCCCGCACCCGCAGGCGCAAGCAGGCGCTCGGGATTGACGACGAGGCTGCGGCAGAGCCGCTCGGGACGCCGCCAAAGCAGCGGCTGCCGCCCGCGCCGCCGAGCATCGCCACGGTATTTGCGAAGCGCAAGCGTGTCGCCTAACGCCGCTCCTCTCGTCGCGCGCTGCCCCATAGCGCGTGCAGGCCACGGGTGGTGGACCCGTTTTGCTGGAAGTTGCTCGGCAGCCCATAGCGCATAGGCGTAAAGAGTAGCCCTCGATGGAGTCCCTCTCGTTGAGGTCGCTGCTGCTCGCTCTTACTTGCTGGTCTCTCCACCAACGACACCGGACACCGCCAGAGTATATTATTTTGTCCAATGCACATGACATGAGCTGCACCTAAAAAGGCATTCCTAAACCAACGGTGTGTGAGTGTGTGATGCTGATGGGGTGTTCTTGCACATCTTGCTTTAAGCTTCTTCGTGGTTTCGTTGCACGTCCACGTCTCGTGTGACGAGCGGGACGTGTCTCGTGTGTGTTGGATTTTTTTGCGATTTTGGTGTGGACAGAGACAACGACGAGAGCGAAGCCAAAACACCGTTCGCGCGTTTTAACGCACGTGTTACATTCAACCATTGCAAAACCCTGCCCTTGATCGGTACATGGCGGTGCACGCTGGGCGCGGAGAGCTGAGGATGGGAACAAGGCTCGGTGTCGGGCGAGGGAGCAGGACGGGGGATCGGCGGGGGAGCTCCAGGAGCCCCCGGCGGCGCACGCCCCACAGACGATGGGATGGTACACGCGCGACGGGCTAGCCAGGCAGCGGCGGAGGGAGGCCAGGGATTACGCCCCCAGCCCTTGCCCGTCCATAAGGCCCGCACTGGGCCTGCCACAGCAGCGCCGCGTCGCTCACAGCAACCCACTCCCTCACACTAAAACCACGCGGCCGTTCGACGCGCACTACGTCGGCACGGCTGGGCGCTCAGAAGCCCTGCAGCTTCTCCGGCGTGATGGTCGGGTTGGCCTGCATTAAAGAGGGAGGTCGGTCTGGTAGGCGCGCGGTCCGCGTGGGTGAAGGGGGGTGGCAGGGGGGGGGGGGGGGGCTGAGGTGGTAGAGGAGCGCGCCTGGGTCAGTTGCTGCTTCCCCATCGCCTTGTAGTCGAACGCGCACTCGTGCTTGTCCGACGCGCGGTGGCCCGCGCAGAAGAAGTACTCGCATTTGCACTGGAAGCCGAGCAAGCCTATCTTCTTGTTGCAGGTCCAGCAACGCGAGGTGTTGGTCTGCACCGGCTTGGACGGCTCGCCCTCGTCGGCGGGCGCGTCGGCCGGCAGGCAGACCGCAGCAGCGGCAGCCTCAGGTGGCGCTGAGGCTGCGGCAGCCTCAGGTGGCGCTGAGGCTGCGGCAGCCGCCGCTCCGCCGGGGGCGGCGGCAGAGCTGGCGGCGGCGGCCGGCGGGGCGGCCGGCGGAGGCGTGAGGGTGGCTGCAGCAGCCGACGGCACCGCCACGCTCGGCGCGGGACACACGGCCATCGGCGTCGCGGACTCGGCCGGAGGCGCAGCTGCAGCTGCCGCGGGCGCCGCCTTTGCCTCCTTGGCGACCTTGTATTTGTAGCACTTCGAGCACATCCCCATGGTCTGCGGGTTGCCGAAGAAGCCGCAGCCCTCGGCGCAGAGCGTGGGGGCAGCGCTCACGTTGTCGTTGGACGCCTCCATCGCGATCCGGGTGTTCTGTGGTGGGCGCGTGGACTGTCAGCGCGGGGGGGGGGGCGGGGGAAGTGGGGAGGGGCTCGGGAGGGGTGGGCGTGCGGGGGGGCGGCGCGGGCGAGGCGCGCTGGCGGCGTCCGCGCGGCCGACGCGCCAGCGCGCGCGCGGCAGCCTGCGTCTCGGTGGAGCGCGCGTAGCGTCAGGAGTGGGCGGGCTTACCTCTGCGCACGCCTTGACGCCTTTGTGAAGCAAAGAGAATTTTTCGTTGCGCTTCTTCCTCTGCGGGCGGACCTTCTGTCCGCAAAGGCGTACACCTTGACCTGCCCAAAAAGAATTCTATTTGCGCAGCACACTGGCCGCCAGAAAAACGGTGTATGCACGAGCTCCGCCTCCGGGCGCTGCCGCCACCGGGAGCGGCGGCGGGGAGCGGAGGGCGGACGATCGTGTGGCGAGGCCCGTGTCGAGGGGCAAAACAGCGTGCGCGCGCGCCGCGGCGGCTGGCGGCTGGCGGCTGGCGGCTGGCGGCTGGCGGCTGGCGGCTGGCGGCTGGCGGCTGGCGGCTGAGGGAGGGTGTAGAGGATGTAGAGAGAGTGTAGAGCGCTGTAGAGCTGTAGAGATGTAGAGCGCTCTGGAGCGCTGAGAGCTGTAGAGCTCTACATCCGCCGCGTGACGAGGCGGGTGCAATTTGAGCGATGTAGAGGCGCTCTATCTACAACCTAAAATACCTCCGAGAAACCCTTCGGGTCGCTCCTCATCGCAAACCCTGTCAGCAGAGTCTCCTACGGGAATGTACGTAAGAGCTACATACACTGAGAGAGAGCTATAAGTACGTACACTGAGAGAGAGACGTACACTGAAAATCTCTACCACAAACTCTACATCATAAGCGGCGAACGAGGCACGCTCGCTCTCCGACATGAGGCGCGTTGCACACTTGCCAGTGCTGCCCTGGCCTTCTGTGTGCCCGCCCAATAATGGGTGGGAGGTGCCTCTGCTGCTGTGGCATGCCTCACGGCTGCGACTGGCCGGCGCCTCGGCGCGTCAGCTCGGCTCGGCGTAGCGATAGTGGCCTTCGCAACTCGCCTGGACTCAACGCTCAGGCAGGAGCTCCCGCCAGCCGAATAAGTTCGACAAGGAGCGAGTGACGGATAAAGTCGTGTGAAAGAGCTGTGAAAGCGAAAGTATCGAAATTAATTGCCCGCCGCAGGCGAAGAAAATTTTCAGGGTTTTTGGTCTCCTACGGCTAGGGTGCCCACACAGGCGCCGCTGTCGCGGGCAGAAGCGCCGCAGTGAAGGTGTGTCGGGCGCCATCTACAGGGAGCCGACCCGGTCGGGTAGGGGAGGCAAGCGCGAGCGGGTGGAGGGCAGTCTCGACCCGCCTACGGCGTTGTGGTGAGGGTGGGTATGTGGGCGACTCTTCCTTTGAATCAGGAGCGTCGCCGCGCGCCGCCATCGCCCGCCGTGTGCTTCTTTGCCGGTGAGCGCGCGACGCAGGCACCTATCGTCAGAGGGGGGGAGGGTGAAGCGCGAGCGTTTCGTCGACCTAGGAGCCGCGGCAAGCGGCATGTAGCCCACTGATAGCCCCGACCCAGGCCTCGTAGCTTCAGATCCCGAGCGCCGGGTCGAGATAGCCGTCGCGAGACCTAAACTCGAAAATAAAATGGTGAGTTCGCCGACTCGAGAACGGTGCCTTTTATCAAACCATGCTGCGGGGTTACAAGTTGACAACTACGTCGCCACACCTTCCGCATCAATAGCGGCCCAGCCACCGCTGGTCGGTGGTAGACGGCTGTCGCGGAGCCCGACAGCCGCGACAGCGGCGGCCGGGCCAAGGTGGCGGCCGAGAGGGTGCCGCTCGTCGAGCCAGCGGCTGCCGCTGGCGACGAGGGGGGTCCGGACCCGCGTTTGGGGGCGGGTGCACCGGCTCGATGCCGGGCGAGCGCAGCGCCCTCCAGTCGGAGCGGCTCGGGCGAGCGAGGCGGTGGCGCTATGGGCGTTTAGAGGCGCGCCCATCGCTTCTCGCAGCTCTGCAGCGCTGACTTTGGCACATCGACGATACAGCCTCGAATATTTCTCAGATTTATTTTGCATGACCTGTCGGGCGCCGCCGGCTGTTGGATGCGTGAATTCTTTTTTCTAAGTTCGATTTTCTTTTGACCACGCCGCGCGTAGGGCCCTTAGGGGCCTAGAGAGCACAACTCCCTCTCCCTTTTCTCCCAGTAAGCTAAAAGTGCAGTAACCGAAGGTGGGCCGCTACATACGTCTCGTACCTCCGCTCTACCAGAGAAAACCTCCCGGACCTACTATCGTGCCGGATGCGCCGCTCGCCACTCTCGGATCATCCGGCGCAGCATGTGGTGCGGGGAGAGGCCCATATGCTCAAGCTCACCGCCAGTCATCGGGCTCGTCGACTTGGTCGCGAGCCAGCGCTCGATCGCCGACCGCTCGTAAGCATGCCCGTCCGCCGCCATCACCGGGTCGCTCATCACCTCGGTCGTGATTGGGCAGATGAAGTCGGCTGGTGGGTCCTCCTCCTCCTCCACCGAGGGCGGCCTCTCAGCAGCCAAAGAGGACGTCGCTTGCTCGTCGGGCGCCCGCCTCTCCTCCCCCAGCCTCGCGCTCTCCTCGAGCGCCGCCGCCAACTCCGCCTCCTCCGCCGCCGCCAGCGCTGCCTCATCCTCGGGCTCCTGCGACGGGCCAGCGCCGCCTCCGCCACCCTTCCCCTTCTTCTTCTTCTTCTTCCCCTTCTTGCTCTCCCTGTCGCGCCCCCCCGCCTCCCTTTCCGCCTCCTCCTCCGCCAGCAGCGCCTCGGCATGCCGCGTCGCCTCCGCCTCTGCCACCGCCCTCTCCGCCGCCCTCTCCGCTGCCTCGGCCGCCGCCTCCGCCGCCGCATGCTCCTCGAGGACGCGCACGCACCCGGCGTGGCCCCTCTCCTTGGCATACTGCAGCGCTGTCTTGCCGTTCTCAGAGCGCAGTGCCGTGTCCGCGCCCGCCCGCAGCAGGCGGAGCACGACGGCGGGCTGGCCTTGGGCGGCGGCGACCATCAGCGCGTTCCAGCCGCCGTTGCCCTGCTTGTTGATCTCCGCCCCGTGCTGCATCAGCAAGTCGACCACCCGCTCGTGGCCTTGGCGGGCGGCGAGCATCAGCGCGGTGCTGCCGTAGCTGTTCTGCTTGTTGATTTCCGCGCCGTGCTGAAGCAGCAGATCGACCACCCGCTCCTTGCCGTCGGCGGCGGCGAGTAGCAGCGCGGTGTTGCCCATGCTGTCCTGCAAGTCGATCTCCGCGCCGCGCTGAAGCAGCAGCTCGACCATTCGCTCGTGGCCGCAGCGGGCGGCGTACATCAGCGCGGTGACGCAGCTCACATCGCCGTCCCAGCAAGTCGCGTTGACCCGCCCGCCGCTGTCGAGCCACGCCAGCAGCGCCGCCTCGTCGCCTTGGAGAGCTGCTTCCACGGCCTCTTCGGTAAGGCTGCCCAGCGAGCCGAAAGAGGCCGCCGCACTCCCTCCCGCCGCCGCCTCGCCCGAGGAAGCGCCGCCCGCGCCGCCCGCCGCCGCCTCGCGCCGGCCCGCAGTCACCTCCGCGATGTGCTGCCGGAAGGCCTCGACGCACGCGCTGTGACCGTTCTTCTTGGCCAGCTGCAGCGCGGACTTGCCCTTCCCAGAGCGCAACTTTGTATCCGCGCCCGCCCGCAGCAGGCGGAGCACGACGGCGGGATGGGCGGAGACGGCGGCGAGCATCAGCGCGGTGGCGCCGTCGCTCCTCTGCAAGTCCATCTCCGCCCTGTGCTGCAACAGCACGTCGACCACCCGCTCGTGGCCGATACTGGCGGCATACATCAGCGCGGTGGTGCCGTCGCTGTCCTGCAGGTTGACATCAGCGCCGTGCCGCAGCATCAACTCGACCACCCGCTCGTGGCCGGTCATGGCAGCGCTCATCAGCGCGGTGGTGCCGTCGCTGTCCTGCAGGTTGATCTCCGCGCCGTGCTGAAGCAGCAGCTCGACCACCCGCTCGTGGCCGTCGCTGGCGGCTTCCATCAGCGCGGTTTCGCCGACGCTGCTCTGCAGGTTGGCATTCGCGCCGTGCTGCAACAGCAGCTCGACCGCCCGCTCGTGGCCTTGGCGGGCGGCGGCCATCAGCGCGGTGTCGCCTTGGTTGCTCTGCTTGTCGATCTCCGCGCCGCGCTGCAGCAGCAAGTCGATTACCCGCTCGTGGCCGCTGTTAGCGGTAAGCATCAGCGCGGTGACGCCGCTCACTTCGTCTACCCTGCGAGTCGCGTTGACCCGCCCGCCGCTGTCAAGCCACGCCAGCAGCGCCGCTTCGTCGCCTTGCTCAGCCGCATTCCCAACCGCTTGGGGAAGTCTTCCCACTTTGCCGGTCTCCGCTGCCTCAACGATGGCAGCTCCGGAGTTGCCGCCCATAGGAAAATATGCGAGAAAAAGAAAAGGCTGCGAATCCCTGTGTGGTGGCGGCGTGCCGTCCTCCCATCCCTCCCTTGGGTTGTCCGTTTTCTTTCTTTCTTTTTACGATTGTAGGAAGAGCTTTAAAAGATCGCTGCAGCCTTTCCAAGAATTTAAAGAAAGAACGCGCTTTCCAAGAAGGTGGATAAAAGAAAAGGCCGACCAGGCCGCTCGCGCCCCGCCGCTCTGGAATTTGGCACGGCTGCGCTGCCCGCGCTAGCCCGCAACGTCAGTGAACGATGCCATCGGCAGAGAGGACGCGCGCGCGAGGCGATGGAGCGCGGCGAACGCCATCGAGGGGTGAGAGCGTGGTAAGGCGAAGCGACATAAAAGCGAGCAGAAAAGCAAGACAGGTCCAGGACACACAAGACAGGTCTTGGACGCTGTGAGTGGGAGGGTGAACGTCTGCGCTGTGGGGGAGTATGGTGTATGCCCCGGGGAACAGTCAGGAGTCCATAGGGCAGCGCACGGTGGAAATCCTGGCCGCAGCTTCCCTGCCCTATAATAGGTCTCGTCTGACAACAAGAACGTCGCCGGCCACGGCGGTTGGATGACGCCATCGGAGAACTCCTACAAGAACACCTGCTGGCAGGCTTGGAAGCGGGCGCTTGAGCAGGGCGACGCCAAAAAGGCGACGTTCTGGTTTGAGAAGAGGCGGGACTTCATGATTGCCGTCCGCGACGCCAACCGCGAGGCGCAGCAGCGCGCCGCCGCCACGGCGTCGAACTGAAGTAAGCCCACATGCCCCACCGTACCCTGCCATATCCCACCGTACCCCTCATACCCCGCCGTACCCTGCCATACCCCGCCGTACCTGCCATACGTACCCGCCAGCGTACCCCACCTACCCCTCATCTCTCTCAGGCAGCGGAGGAGGCAGCTGCTCAGGCAGCAGCGGCGCAGGAGCAACTGGCCATTGTCCGCAGCTAACGCGAGGCGGATGGCACAGCAGACGTTGGTCGGCCGCGAGATCGTCGGTGGAGCAGCCGAGGGACGCGTGCTGTACGCTGACACCGGCCTCTCCTTCTGGGGCGGGTGCGACCCGCAGACGGGCGTGATCGTCGACCACACTCACCCACTGCACAACGAGTGCGTGTGCGGCCGTGTGCTCGCGATTCCCAACGGGCGAGGGTCGTGCACGGGCAGCCAGGTGGTGCTCGAGCTGCTGCTCAACGGCGTGGCGCCCGCCGCTCTCCTGCTGCGCACGCCAGACGTCATCCTCTCCCTCGGAGTCATCGTGGCGGAGGAGGTGCGGCCCGCAGACACTCCTCGCCCGCCCCGCCAGCTCCACGCCTCTGCTCCCAGCACCTCTGTGCGTCCACGCTCTCTGGTCCCACGCGCTCGGCGAGTCTTCTGATCCCACGACTCGGCGAGTCTTCAAGACCGCCGCGGCGCGTATGATGCGTCTACCGTTCCGCGACACGTCCACGACACGTCCGAGACACGCATCCCCGCGACACCGTGCGCGGCTCCTCAGCCGCTCGGCCGCCCGTGTCTGAGTCGTGAGGGATTGCATTCACAGCTCTTCGGTCACTCCATCCCGATCGTCTCGCTCGGGGACAGCTTCGACCGCCTCGAGGCGCACACGCACGCAGCGGTGGCGGGCTCCACCGTCATCTGCGGCGCCGGGCCGTTGCCGCCCGCACCCCGCTCGTTTTCGACGGCGGACGAGCGCCTCGCGGCGTCGGCGCTGCAGCTGGAGCCTGAGGAGAGGGCGATGCTGGCGGGCGAGCGGGGGCGGGCGGCGCGGGTGGCGATGCGCGTGGTGGCGCGCGCTGCCGAAGTCTGCGACGCGGAGAGGCTGCTCCGCATCTCGCAGGCGCACATCGACGGCTGCACGTACATCGGGCCGGGGGGGCTTCGCTTCGCGCGCGAGCTCGTGGCGCTCGGAGGGAGAGTGGCGGTGCCAACCACTCTCAACTCCAACTCTGTCGACCGGCGGCGGTGGCGCGCGATGGGCGTGCCCGCGTCGCTCGGCGAGCCGTCCGAGGCGCTCGGCCAGGCGTACCTCGACCTGGGCGCCTCGCTCCCCTACCCCACAGTACCCGAACCCACCCTCCCCTACCCCACGGTGACCGAACCCAGGCATACCTCGACCTGGGCGCCTCCCTCTCCTTCACGTGCTCGCCGTACCTCCTCCCCTCGGCCCCTCGCCTCGGTGAGCACGTCGCGTGGGGCGAGTCCAACGCCGTCGTCTTTGCGAACTCCGTGCTCGGCGCCCGCACGCTCAAGTACGCGGACTACCTGGACATCTGCGCCGCGCTGGTTGGCCGCGCACCCGCCGCAGGGGCCCACCTCGACGAGCACCGCCACGCGACTCTGGTGCTCGACGCGTCCGCCCCTCCCCTAGACCTTTCCTAGACCTTTCCTGGACCTTTCCTGGGACCTTTCCTGGAGCCTTCGCGTAGGTGCTCGACGCGTCCGCCCTCGTCGCCGCCGGTCTCCCGGCCGCCTCCGCCGACGCGTTTTGGCCGACCCTCGGCTACGCCTGCGGCAACCTCGCGCAGACCCGTGTGCCGGCCCTCACCGGCATCGCCCACCTCTGCCCGACCCGCGACGAGCTCAAGGCCTTCGCGGCGGCCTTCGGCACCTCCGGCGCCGCCGCCCTCTTCCACATCGTCGGAGTGACGCCGGAGGCGGCCGACTTGCAGACTGCCCTCGGTGCGGCCGGCAGCGGGGAGGGCGTCGAGACGCTGCGGCTGTCGCCGGAGCACTTTGCATCCGCTTGGTTGGCCTCTCGACCGCGGTGAAGAATGGCCCGCGAGGCTGTGAATCATCGAGCCTGAGAGCTGTGAACAGGCGGACCCTTGACAGCGGGGCGCCTTCCAGTGGCGGGCACGACGACGGTGGTAATTGCGGTGACGGAGGCGGCGGCGGCGGCGACGGCGGCAGCGGCGGCGGCGACTGCAGCGGCGTCGACCTCGTCGCTCTCGGCAACCCGCACCTTTCCTTCTCCGAGGTCGAGTCGCTGGCAGCAATGGTCGGCGGCGGCGGCGGCGCGAAACACCGCGACGTCCGCGTCATCGCGACCCTGTCGCGGTTCGTGCTCGAGCAGGCGGAGGCCGCGGGACACTTCCTAGGCACTTCCTAGACACACTTCCTAGACACTGCCTAGAGGCGATACGTGCTCGAGCAGGCGGAGGCCGCGGGACACGCACTCACGCTGAGTGAGTTTGGCGTGGAGTTCATCAACGACACCTGCTGGTGCATGCTCGGCGACGTGGTACCCTTCCCGCCCATCCAGTCGGCGCGCACGCTCATCACAAACTCGGGCAAGTACGCGCATTACGCGCCCGGGCTGGTCAACCGGAGCGGCTTCAAGGTCCGCTACAGCGGCCTCGCCGGTTGCGTCGCCGCGGCACGCACCGGGAGGGCGCCGCCGCGCCCGCCGTTCCTCGCGGCGTTGCGTGGGTGCGCGAGCGTTGCAGGGTTGGGCAGGGCCCTGCTCAGGCGCGGGGGGTCGACGGGGCGTATATGATTTAAAAGTGCTCTCCTGTGAAAGCACGCCCAACCTAGCGGATTTGGGATACTTGCCACCCCGAAGGCCGAAGGCGAGTGGCGGGTGGCGCGTCAGTTCACACCTTAGTCAGGGGAGCACGAAGAAGACGCGATTTTGCCGCTCACTGGCCCCGTGTATGAGAAGCAGGCGTGACAATCGCCAAAACGCACAACCCCGGGCCCGAAATCGCACAGAGACACATTCACGTATATCATTTAAAAGTACTGAGGCTAAAGGGTGTGGATGCTGGGTTGACGGAAATCGGAGGAAGCGACCCACTTCGCCACAGACGGTCCCGCGCCTCGCCGCTATGACGGGGACACACCCCGCACCGTCCGCTGTGTCCCCGTCTTTGTCCGGAGTGAAAAGTCCAACGCGCTCGTCGGTGACGGCTTCCTCCAACCTGCGCCGCGCTCGGCGAACCTCGACAGCGCCTTCGGTGGCATGCACCTCTTTGCGACAGAAGCCTGGAGAGCAGCTCCTCTGCTGCTCACACACTCTGCACAGTTGACACAGCCTACTGTGCGGCTGCCACAGCTGTGACAGCGATGGGCTCGCCCTCACTGGCCCTCAGTCACTTGTGCTGCGGCTTGTGTGAGCGACACTGCTCGGCGATACTTGCCGGCACGACTGTCGAAGACCAGTGGCGTGTGACGCGTAAAACCACGCCTTACTCAGCGCTTGGTCACATCGGCCCCGAGGTTGCAGATCCATCTACTCGTGTATGATGAGCAAGCGTGACTATCGTCTACCCGCACAAGCCCGGGCCCGAAATGGCACAGAGACACATTCACGTATATCTCATTTAAAAGTACTGAGGCTAAAGCCGTATGAAAGCACGCCGCAACCACACCGAGAGCAAAACAAGAACATGCAACGCACACGCCGGGTTGTGTCAGGCCCTGCAAAGTGCGCAGAGACTTCTGGCTAGGATCTTTGCGATTCAGTCGTTTGTAGTCAAGCGGATGCGGGCGTGCTGGGCGGCCACGCCTCGACCTTCTTGGGGAGCAGCTGGTTCGCCAGGTCCTCTCCGTGGCCTAGGCAGCCGCTTCCGCCCTTGCCCCAGGTAAAGACGGCGCTGTCGGCGGTGAGGGCGAGGCTGTGTTCGCCTCCTGCCGAGGCGGCAATAACGCGCCGGTCAGCAAAGGCCTCGACCTTCTTGGGCAGCAGCTGGTTCTGCTCGTCGCCGTGGCCCAACCGGCCAAAGGCTCCATAGCCCCAGCTCCACACGGCCCCGTCAGCGGTGAGGGCGAGGTTGTGGTTGCCTCCCGCCGACGTAGCGACGACGCGCTGGCCAGCAAAGGCCTCGATCTTCTTGGGCTGCCACTGGGCCTGCCCGTCGCCGTGGCCCAAATGCCCGCTCCCTCCAAAGCCCCAGCTCCAGACGGCGCCGTCAGCGGTGTGGGCGAGGCTGTGCGCGGCGCCAGCCAACACAGCGGCGACGCGCTGGCCAGCCAACGCCTCGATCCTCTTGGGCATCAGCTGGCCCTGCTCGTCGCCGTGGCCCAACCGGCCAAAGCTTCCACCACCCCAGCTCCAGACGGTGCCGCCGGCGGTGAGGGCGAGGCTGTGCGCGCCTCCAGCCGACACGGCGACGACACGCTGGCCAGCGAAGGCCTCGATACTCTTCGGCAGCAGCTGGATCTGCTCGTCGCCGTGGCCCAGCTGGCCGTAGAGACCAAAGCCCCAGCTCCAAACGGCGCCGTCAGCGGTGAGGGCGAGGCTGTGGCGGGATCCTGCCGAGACAGCGACGACGCGCCGCCCAGTAAAGGCTTCGACCTTCTTCGGCTGCCACTGGGCCTGCTGGTTGCCGTGGCCCAACCGACCGTCGACAGGGTAAAACCGGCCTTGCCCTCCAAAGCCCCAGCTCCAGGCGGCACCGTCGGCGGTGATGGCGAGGCTGTGCGCATCTCCAGCTGCCACGCTCACAGCGCGCTCACCCAGCGTCGAGGGGAGGCGGGTCGGCGTGTTGAGCCGTGTCACGCCCTCGCCGTGACCCAGCAGGGCTGGAGAGTAGGACGGTGCAGAGCCGCACGACGAGAGCCGCCCCTCGCCGTCGATGAAGAGGCTGTGGTACTGGCCTGCTGCCGCCCTCGCCGGCGGGTTGGACTCGCACAGCAGCGCCGAGTAGCACAGGCATCGCACGGCACAGCTCTCGTCCTCTGGCTGCGCCGGCAGCTCGAAGCCGCGCTCTTGCGCCCACAAGCGGATGCCCTCCACCGCAAGCGAGCCGTGGAAGAGCAGCGAGACGGCCGCGGCGCGAGCGATGTCGGCGGGTCCGCAATGAGAGAGGGCGCGCACGAGAAGGTCGGTGGGGAGGTCGAGGAGGCGGGTGGGCGGCGGCGTGTCTGGCGAGGGCGTGGCGGTGGCGGAGGCGGCGAGGCGCGAGCGGCGCCGCGGCGGGGTGGACATCGCGAGAAAAAGAAAACTGAGCGCGATTTAGCGGATTTGGGATACTTGCAGCGAGAATCGGAGAGAGACTGCGAAGTGAGATAGGAAGAGGCGGACGCCCAAGGGTGGGCGATGGCTAGCGCACCACACCCCTCTCCTTAAAATCCTTGTGTGGTGGCGGCGTGCCGTCCTCCCATCCCTCCCTTGGGTTGTCTGTTTTCTTTCTTTCTTTTCTTTCTTTCTGGGATACTTGCCACCGAAGGCAAGTGCGTCTGTTCACAGCTGACGAGCGGAAAACGCGATTTTGCCGCTCAGAGGGGAGGAATGAGGCTTGCGCATGCGCGAGGCCGCCAGCCAGCAGCTCCGCTCCATCAGCTCCGGGGCAGCCTCACTACCTACGCAGGCACGCGTTGTCGTTGCTGGCGGCGGCATCATTGGCACGTCAGTCGCTCTACGGGGAGAGCGACGAAGAGCTCTAGGAGCGGCCGCCGAGCCCTTCCCGCGGCGCAACCCTAGCAGCGCAGCGATCGCGCACGCGAGCGAGCGAGCGAGCACACACACACACACACACACGCGCGCGCACTCACATGCACAGACACACAGCCCCTTGCTTCCCCTTCCCCCTCAAGACCGCAAGGGCGAGGACACGCGTCGGCCGCACCCCTAGCGAAGCCCACAGAGTGGGAGACTCCTATCACCGCCCCTGCCACCCACGGCGTGAGCCTTGGCCGCCTCTGTCAGTGTGCCCGTGGTAGGAGATCAGGAGCCGGCGGAATCTTGCCGGAATGCACTAGCCTCCGGCGGGCCTCCGGCGGACGCCTGGCGGCGTGGCGCTGCGCGCCGGCCTGCGGCCTCTGAAGAGTGTGTCACACTCTGTCACCTCGCCGCGAAGTGTGTCACCATGAAAGTGGCGGCGCGCCCAAAATCAGTTTCTCTTTAAGGGTTGCCCGGCCGGGTTGCTGCAATCTCGCGCTGCGCAAATCTCGCGTGAAAGCTGTTATGGTGACTGTTAATTAATTAATTAATAAGTAATGACCCCACCCGCCGCCGCGCCGCCCCGCCCTGCGTCGCCCGCTGCCTCGCCGCGCCGCCGCCTCGCGCCGCCCGCCGCCGCGCCGCGCCGCGGCCCGATGAGTAATAATTAATAATTATTACCCGATGCTTAACAATGTGTGTGTGTTTGTGTGTGTGTGTGTGTTTGTTTGCGCTGTGTGTGTGTGTGTGTGTGTGTGTGTGTGTGTGTGTGTGTGTGTGTGTGTGTGTGTGTGTGTGTGTGTGTGTGTGTGTGTGTGTGTGTGTGTGTGTGTGTGTGTGTGTGTGTGTGTGTGTGTGTGTGTGTGTGTTTGCGCGATGGCAGGGAAGGGAAGGGCAGCGTCGAGCCGCAAGTGGCGTCGACGACGCAGCTAGGACACGATGGTGACGCACAAAGCGCAGCGTGCGCGGTAGCAGCGCGACCGCGGCCCGCGCCGTATCAGCGGCGCTCCGAGTGAGTCAGGCTGCGCTGCACAGCCTGCTACCGCGCTGGTGTCCGGTCCGAGCCAGGCTGTTCTTCACCCTCCTACCGAACCGAACCTAGGCGCTGCAGGGCAGCCGCGAGATAGGCAGCGCCGAGGCCGCGTTCCGCCAGCGGCGGCGGGAGACGGAGGTGGCGGTGGCGCTGGCGGAGAGGCTCGACGCAGCGGCGGGGCGGGAGGAGGCGTGGAGTGAGGACCAGGTGGGAGATACGGACGAGATGTGGACGAGAGGTATGTGGACGAAGTATACGGGGCGAGATGTGGACGAGATCGGCGCGGTTCGCAGAGGGCTTGTCGCAGAGCGCGTTCGGGTTGCGGCTGCTCCACGCCATTGGAAGGTGCTACACCTCGTACGCCACTATTATTACCACTTGGGCGTCCCCGTCAGCCACGTCGCGGGGCCTTCCTTGCGTACCTCCAGGCCGCCCGGCAGCCAAGGGAGTGCGTCCAGGCCTGAGTTCTTTTTGCAAAACTCGGGCGGACCTGGCGGCATACAGGAGCATGGCCCCATGCGTGTGCTGAGAAAGTATATCTGAAGTTCAGGCCCAGAAAGAGTTCTACGAATACCAGCCCCTCTCACAGCAGACTGGCACACGGGACTAGCACCACAAAAGGCCAGCAGACAACGGCCCCTTATGGGCCGTCGAAGAGGCCGACATACCCCTCCGGCCTCGCCCCCCCTTCCCAACCCTCCCCTGGCTCAGGCTCCTCATCCTCGCGGCGCGCAGTGCGCACCCTGCCCCGCGAGGACGAACCGCCGGCGTGCCTCGCGGGACCGTCGCCCGCCACCCTGAGGGGTGGCCCGTCTACCGTCTACCGGTAGACCGGGTAGACGGTAGACCGTTTGGTAGACGAGTCTACCACGAGTCTACCGCAGTCTACCGGTAGACCGTAATGAACCTACGACACCAGTCTACCGGTAGACTTGGTAGACCGCGGTAGACGGGTCTACCACTTTTTCAGCCGCCGAACGGTAGACCGCCGCCGCCGGACGGTAGACCGCCTCGGCCGTTTGAATAATGAATATGCAGCCTCCAGTTCTCCACTCTGGCGCCACTTTGGCAGACGAGCGCCGGCAGATGCCCTCGCGGCCT